AAAGATTACACTTAACCCCTACACAGGGTGAGTAAAGATTATATTCAACCCTTACACAGGGCAAGTAAAGATTACACTTAACCCCTACACAGGGTGATTAAAGATTATATTTAACCCCTACACAGGGTGAGTTAAGATTACACTTAACCCTTACACAGGGTAATTAAAGATTAGACTTAACCCTTACACAGGGCAAGTAATGGTTAGAATAACTACTACATAGTAGAAGTAAAAATAAGACCTAACCCCTACACAGGGTGAGTAGAGATTAGAATAACTCCTATACAAGTTAAGTAAAGCTAAGACTTAACCTCTTCATAAGGTAAGTGAGCATACTCAATTCCTTCACAAGATAAATAAGGATTACACTTGATTTCAATGCATTGTAAACTTTAATTATTTTCCTTAAAAACTGACAGAACTGAACTGATATATCTAATGATTTTATGTAGTTAACATCTAGCATTAACATAAATCCTTTAGAATGGAGTAGATTTTAATAATTTTAATAATTTTCAGGAGGAGTTACCTCCCCTTATTTATCATTTTGAAACGTTTCAACAAGAGTTATCTCCTCCTTTTGTCAAGACGATGTTCAGGAGGAGCTATCTCCATTTTCTTATTTGTATGAAGTTAAAGAGTTATCTCCTTTTTTTGTTTTGTTATTTCAGTGCCTTGCAGTTTGATCAGCACAATAGTCCGACCAAGGTTCTGACAGCATGGGATAGAAATGGTGAAAATGAGTCCATCGCAGCAGGTATGCATAAAACCCCGGGAACTGAGCTCATCATCTGGTGGTTTTTTTTTTTAAAGGGGTATTAAATGCTCAAAACGATTCACAGATTATTACCCAGGGTTATAGGGCCATTGCAACCAGCCAATATCTTTCTCAACTCCCTTGGGAGCATACAGCTGGTGCTGCTATTTTGGTACTCACATTTAACAATTCTAGCACTGCCCAACCACATACTCATTTACAGCTAAGTAGACTGGAACCAGCTGAGTAAAGTATTTTGCTCAAAGATACTGCACAGTACTGTGACATGACTCGAACCAGCAACCATTCGATCACGAGCCCGGCGTCCTACCACTAGACTACCATGCCTCCTAATGTTCAGGGTGGTGTACTGGAAAGTATATAGAGTGTGGTCGGGTATTACTGAACACTTGAAGGAAACCTTTTAACAACGAAAACGTGTGCATTTATGCATTCAGACGAGTATAGTTACATATATTAGCTAATAGTTTCTCTTATTCCATAACTACGCATTCATTGTCATAAGTTGTGTCCTTTCCATTTATATAGATGTTCATTGGTTTAGCTCTCATTTCCTATATACATGTAAATATGCAAAAAAAAGCCTGGAAGCCTGGAAATAAGCACATGCTAGACAATAACTTCATGCAGAGGGTGTTTTTTTCATCCACATTGCAAGCGGACAATATTTTCAGGGCTCCGGAACACTGATATGTTGACATGCTCTTAAAACACCAAGAATATATGTGATTTATAAATTGTGTTCAATAATTGGCTCTGGTTATACCTGACCCCGCTCTATATATGATTAATGTCACATAATATATGTGATTATACAGATCTGTAGGAAAAGAATTTTTACTATTTAAGTTTTTCAGGGTTTGTAACAAAATGGGCTGTAATTAGATACTTAATGATAAAGAATGGCACCATCGTATAACATGTAAGACAGTGGGTATCAATAGAGAGCAACACTTCGGTCAAAAGTACATTTGAGGTCAAATATTACGATTTGGGTAACACCGTGCATTGATTGAAAGGGGACTGTTGAATTGAAGTTAATGTTACATGGCTATCCATCTAGTGGTGACCAGGCCTAGGTCTGTCATGGATGACATAGAGATAGGAACGAGAGTGTGAACTCCCCAAATCAGACAGGATAACTGTCATTGCCATATGGTACATTTAGCATTTTTGTTTTGGAAGGGAAATGTTAGCTTAAAAGTTAGATTAGAAGTTAGATTAAAATTGCTGCACTTGCCTCATTACTTTTGTACAGTGGGTGGTACCTACTCATGAGAAGTTAATTTTGTATAGATTGTTAAAAGTACTTGGGGAAAATTTCATAGGTAGTATGGGAGTTAGGAGTGAGAGTCCAGAGTTGAGAGTCGGGATTCGAGGTTTGAGAATGTGAGCCTCGCAGGATAGAGGCCAGGAAAGGCCTCGGCCGGAGGGGCCTGTGATGGCCCGGGTACAGCACTTGGTGTATTTTAGAACTATGTGTTTGATGTTGTAACTCTATATAATCTATGAGCTTGCAGATTTGCTGTCGTGTTCCAGAACTGTGTTAAAAAGGACATTTGTTAAATTAAAGAAAGATCTTACAAAGAAGTTCTACTCGAGGTATGGACCCTGACTGTCTCGGTCACAACGGGAAGATAATAAAAACATTTAGTCCACATGTGTTGTACAGCTTGTTATGTAACAGGTTCTACTTTGTGCAGTTACATATTTTCTTTAAAAAATACACAGATTTTATTCTGACTGACTGTAGGACTTGAAAATATCCTCTGCTGTCAGCTCAGTAGCGTTTGAACAAATTCTGACAAGATCATGGACATACAAAGGGTTGTCTAAGTGGTTATTTGATTAACATTAATCATTAATAGTTGAGGTGAAAAGTAAATTATACATATATTCCCAGTTAGAGCTTACGTGAAGTAAAAAATAGCAAGATTTGCATATGTCAAGTTTGGTGATTTGGATAATTTTTTGACGGATAAGGACTCTAAAAGCATGCAGCCGGTACCGTCAAACGAACAAGTGTACAAAGCAGTTGTGATTGAAATGAAAAAGACGAGGTTTCCGGGCAGTGAAACACAAGGACACAATCACTGATGATGATAGGAAAAAACTGTTTGATAACCCGTTCGTCAATGTCAACAATTCAATTGTTATAGTGGCCATGGTATTAAAAACACTTACTTTATTGTTAAAGCTTGAAAAGTTCACTGTTAATGGAAATGCAATTTACGTGTATTTGTTACTTTCAAAACTTTGTTAATTAAGGACTTTCAGTATAATAAAATAAATACTACACTCATTAGAGTGTGACGTACAGTGCCTAGGGTCACCCCTCTGGTGACAGTTATACCCTTGGGGTGACCCTATAGGCACTGTCACACTCTAATGAGTGTAATATTTATATAATCATAATCAATTTATAAAATATTTACAGCTAATGGTCCAAGGGTGACAACTTTCAATTTACAACATCTATACCAAGCCCTGTACGTTTGTTTGGTTTAATTTGTTAGTTATATCTTTAATGATGTTATGTAATAATCCATTGACAGGACTGGTGTTATAGGGTTTTATTGTTTCGGTTACTATGTAACAATATCTCTATTAATTATACAACATTCATGCAAATTTTCTTAAATTCACAAAAACATACATAAATATCTACTTACTCAATAACTGTAACAGAAAAGTTTAAAATGTTATTGTCATGACCATGTTGATACTTCACATTTCCAGCAACCTTTGTGATACCAACACTGCTAGAGGTCTACAACCAAGATGGAATCAAAGTTCACTTCATGCTCGGGCAAAAAGCAGGGAATATGTCTGATGGGAGTGATATGGCAACCCTGATCTGGACAGGTCCTCACGGACAAAAGGCCCGATTGAACATCGTCAAGTTATTCAGGGAGCACTGCATCAAGGTACGTAGATTCTAACAATTCATACCACACTTATCCTTCAATTAGCCTAGAGGCCAATAGATAATCTCTAAATTAAAGTAGGGGAAAGGTTATAACAGGACAATGAAGGCACGTTTGTTTGCATTTTCACTGAACTGCATTAAAAATGGATGGGTTTATTAAAAGTCATACCATATTAAATAAAAGGCAAAACATCTAATTGTGTAAAATGTACGATTTATATATTCATTAGCTCACCTGGTCTAAAGGGCCTAGTGAGCTTATATTATGCCATGGTGCGGCGTACGTCCAGCGTCAACTTTTTACTTTAAACTACTTCTTCTGAATAACCAAGACGCCTAGGGTGATGATATTTAGCCAGTAGCATGCTGGGATGAAGGACTTACCAAGTTTGTTAATTTGTGAACCGCCTTGAGACAGCCTATGAACTAAGTTGTGATAAAGCGGTATATACATATGTAAGAACCTCAAATTATTATTATTATTTCTTGTTCAAATGAATGACCTTCGCTCATTTTCAAGGTCACAGTGGTCAAATATGTTAAAAAAACAAAAAAACTTCTACATAACCAAAAGGCCCAGGATGATGATATTTGGCCAGTAACATGCTGGCATGAACAGCTACAAAGTTTGTTCAAATGAATCAATATGACTCATATTCAAGGTCACGGGGGTCAAATATGTATAAAATCTTTAAACAATTTCTTCTCAATAACCAAATGGCTCAGAATGTTGATATTTGGCCCATAACATGCTGGGATGAAGGGCTACTAAGTTTGTTCAAATGAATGACCTTGACGTTTATTCAAGGTCATAGGTGTCAAATATGTTTTAAACTTTTAAACAACTTCTTTTGAATAACGAAAAAGCTAAAAGTGTTGATATTTGGCCAGTAACATGCTTAGATGAAGGGCTATCAAGTGTTTTAATTTGAATGACCTTGACCCACTTTCAAGGTATTTTTTGGTCAAATGTGTATACCCATAAATGACCTAATCTCAATAAACAAAAGGTCTAGTGTGATATTTTGCAAATTGCATGCTGAGATGAAGGGCTATAAAGTTTGTTCAACATAATGACTTCGTTCGACTTTCAAAGTCACAGGGGCAAATGGGTTTAAATCTTTTAACAGGATTTATAACAGGTTCTTTTGAATTTCTTATTGTCATAAATACTGATATTTTGCCTGTAGCTTTATTTTAGTTCACTTTTAAGGCTACAATTGTGAAACTAATACCAGGTGAGCGATGCAGGCCCATTGAGCCTCTTGTTTTTTAAAAAATAAATTAATGACTAGAGTATAAAAATATTAGCTCACATGTGAGTGGGCCATTTGGAATGAAATAAATAAAAACATAAACCTTTGCAAAAAAGATTATTATATTTCATTGCCGTCTTTGGTTATCATTTCATGACACTCAGAAAAAAGTCTTCAATACCTTTGTACAAGGTTCAGTGGGAGAATAGTACTATCATGATGCCAATTAAGATTTACTATTTATGCAAAGAAAATCAGCGTGTCCTTGATATTTATGTAAGCAAATCACTGAAACATTTTGCTTCTGATAACTCTATGGTTGGTGTTTCAGGAGGCTAAAGAATCCGTGGCAAGAACCTATGGATCAATGTCACCCGATAACATTTTACTAAGAGAGGATGCACAAAAGTTCATAGATTTGTGCTTAGCAAAGCAGCGTGTGGTTGATGTAAATGTGAGTATTAAACTGCTGAATATCATACCTGTATAAAGTTTCAGTTATGAGAACAGTAAACAGTAAGTCAACTATGATGGACAAATTTTGGTATTTGGTTTAAAGCATCCTTTGGTGAAGAGGACTTAATTTTGTACAAACGGTGGGTCTGACCCCCCCGGGGGCAGAAGGTCGGGCCCAATAGGGGAAATATAGCAAATTCTTCAAAATCCTTTTTCTGTAGGAATGACAGGATTTTGTCCAAATTTGTTATGAAGCATCCTTGTTTGAAGGGGGAACACATTTTGTATGCCCTTGGGGCAGGGAGGCGGGGCCCAATAAGGGATATAGATAAATAGCTTTAATATCCTCCTTTTTCCGTTGGGATGAAGTTATTTTGACCAAATTTGAACAGTAGCATCCTATGGGGAAGAGAAATCAATTTTGTATAAATGGTGGGTCTTACCCTCCTGGGACCTGAGGGGTGGGAGGGGTAATTTAGCAAATTCTTTAAAATCCTTCTTCTTCTGTAGGAATGACAGGATTTTGTCCATATTTGGTATAAAGCATCCTTGGGTGAAGGGGACTTAATTTTGTATAAACGATGGGTCTGATCCCCCTTGGGGGGGAGAGGCCAATATGGGAAACATAGCAAATTCTTCAAAATTCTTCTTTTCCGATAGGAATTTGTCCAATTGCATATAAATACCCCTGACTAACCATGTACACTACCAGCAACATTTGGCTATTTCAACTTCAGTTTTGCTTATATTTCCAGGCCTTCTTGTTTAAAGTAACAAATATTGTTGCATCAAAAAATTGCGAGAAGTAGTAGCATGTTATTAGATCAGAGATAACCTTATGATCTGTGCAATGTTTAATAAACTCCATTTTTAATCCTTTTTTGTCATTTTGATTTGACAGTGGATATGTTCACAAGTCCAGCAATTTGCTTACAAACGGAGAGAATTCAACAGATATGAAAAAAGTAAATTAAATTCATGGGCACAAAAGTATAATCTAAGAGGGAGAAAAGCACCTCCAAGAGAAGTTAAATATTCATATGAAAAACCGGCAACTTTAAACTTGCAATATTCAGCCCACCCAGAGATGTACAGGCTTGTTCTCACACACATTGCTGTGTTGGGGAATTTCTTGATATTTTTTACAAAGCATTCTTCGACACACTCCCAAGAGTACTTATGGGTAAGTAAATAAGATGATACATTGCTGTAAATCCTTTTCATCCATTAAATTTCACTATATGTATTTCTACATAAATAGATATTTTTTCCATTAAAAATGTCATTAACATTGCTGTAAATCCTTTTCATCCATTAAATTTCACTGTATGTATTTCTACATAAATAGATATTTTTTCTATTAAAAATGTCATTAAATCTTAGCCCATGACTGATATATTTACCGGGAGATTCCCCAACAAGTGATGGTGGGTTATCATTGCAAATTGTGTAAAGGCAAAAGGTTTACCGAGTGTCTTTAACAATTTAAAAATTAGCTGACGAGAGTTAGATAAATATGATGATTAATCATCACGAGTTTGGGGACCTTTTTTTCCAAAGCATTCAGATATTTTATCTAGAAAACCATTTATTCTGTTTGGAATACTTAATTTGTGTTGTGTTCAGACAATTGCCATGAACTACGACATCACAATGGAACATGACGCCGCGAAGCTTTGTTACTTGATGTCATAATTAGAAGATTGACCAATGATGTAAAGTCTAGGGTAACCAAACATGTTTACCAACTAGTACTCCTAGTAGGTTTATCCGATGAGTCAGGAGTGAGGAAATCATGAGTAATTGTGGGAGGTATCCCGACTCGCTCAGTTACACGTAGTAGATTTTACTAGTCTATATCTTTTACTGAACCATCTTCTATCAGTTGTAAATGTAGACAAGACATCCACTGTCGTCAATATCACTGACTCAACATTTCTTTACCATGACATTTACTGTTGTCAATATCACCGACTCAACATTCCTTTACCATGACATCTGCTGTTGTCAATATCACTGCCTCAACCTTCCTTTACTATGACATCCACTGTCGTCAATAACACTGACTCAACCTTTCTTTACATGACATCCCCTGTCGGCAATATCACTGACTCAGCCTTCCTTTACCATGTCATCCACTGTCGTCAATATCAGTGACTCAACCTTCCTTTACCATGTCATCCACTGTCGTCAATATCACCGACTCAACCTTCCTTTCCCATGACATCCACTGCCGTCAATATCACTGACGCAACCCTTCTTTACCATGACATCCACTGTGGTCAATATCACTGACGCAACCCTTCTTTACCATGACATCCTCTGTCGTCAATATCACCGACTCAACCTTTCTTACCATGACCTCCCCTGTCGTCAATATCACTGACTCACCCTTTCTTTACCATGACATTCACTGTTGTCAATATCACTGCCTCAACCTTCCTTTACCCCGACATCCACTGTCGTCAATAACACTGACTCAACCTTCCTTTACTATGACATCCACTGTCGCCAATATCACTGACTCAGCCTTCCTTTACCATGTCATCCACTGTCGTCAATAACACTGACTCAACCTTTCTTTACCATTACATCCACTGTCGTCAATAACACTGACTCAACCTTTCTTTACATGACATCCCCTGTCGGCAATATCACTGACTCAACATTTCTTTACCATGACATTTACTGTTGTCAATATCACTGACCCAACCTTCTTTTACCAAGACATCGACTGTCGTCAATATCAGTGACTCAACCTTCCTTTACCCCGACATCCACTGTCGTCAATATCACTGCCTCAACCTTCCTTTACCATGACATCCACTGTCGTCAATATCACTGACTCAACCTTCCTTTAACATTACAGACTATGGATCTTGAATCCAGGGACGCCTTTCTTGCCTCCAAGGTTCCATTTAAAACTGCCACTATGACTAGCCTTCCAGTACGCAATCAAGTGTGTCACACCATTCCGGGAGCAAACCTCCTTCTCAACAAAGTGTAAGACATTGAAATAAACACATCACTAATCATATTCAGAGAGACAGTCTGAGTTTGAAGTGAAATTATATTGTTAAATAGAGACCTGAAGAATTTTTTTTTCCCTAATCAACTTTTTGTAACGTGATGTACTGGAAAGCTTGAATTTTCCATGTAAATCCAATTTTTCGCTAATTTGGCTGTAAAATTAGTTCTGAGAAAAAGGGATCCAGTTAAATAGGTGTTACGAGTTGCAAAAGAATAAGTATAAGGGCTCGTTATGTCAGAAACATCTTTGAAAATTGTTGAAATATTGAAGTCATAAAAAATCGTAGTATTCCACTGTTCATTCATGTTATTTCCCAGCTTTTGTTGTCTATATCTGTTTCCTTCATTTCTCACGGACTTATTTAGAAGGATGACTTCATGAACAGTCATCAACAGAATTCCTTGAGTCATACCTATTTTATTTATGCATCATCCAACGAAAGTAAGGACCAATTATATTACATAAAATTCTTCATCTATTTGTATAACATCAGCAAAGTGCAATTTGTTTTAGAGCATGTAGTCTAGACTTTTCCTGTATCTGGCACAAAAACGCATCAAAATGAGTTATGACATCTGAGATTCTAGTACAAGTACATGTATATTCATCAAGAAAGTGAGTCCACAAGCAAGTGAAATCGAGAGTAGACCTAATGATAAACAAGTAATCTCAGGGAAACATGTATTCTTGTTTCCCTCCTACAAAGTCAGCAAATGTATATTGTACCATTTCCATAGCCTTCCTTTCAAACAATCATGTTGAAATTGAACTTAGCCTCGTACCGTCTTTTGCCATAATTAGCGCTCCTCTCCCTATAAGCACCCTTCTCCCTTTTTTGGAAAAAAATAAATCTATATAGACCCCCTCCCAGAACTGACGAGGCCCAGTCAATGATTAATAGTACTGACACTTTAAAACAGAGATTTATGTCTGGTGATCATTGCTAGACTTCTTGTGGTAGCGAATGAAAAATTATATTAATCAACTTTTAAAGTTTACTGAAGCTCTATTATAAATCAGATTTGAGAATATTGCATCTAGAAAAAAAACTTGTCCAAAATGATCATTATAGATAATGCGCACATACATTTTATAATTGACGATCATGTAAATAAAGGATCAAATCCATATTATTCAGATTAAACTGAGTCATGTTGTATGACTTTCTTTTCCAGATCAGATACACAGTTCAAAGTGACAAATATCAAGAAAATGAAAGAATTAGAAATTGAACGTGTCAACTGTTGTCCTTCCAGTACCTCATCCTGTGCTGATATATCACGAATGTTTTTGTTCGGTAGCCAGCTATTTGGCATTTCCTTTAACAGCAGGTAAAACTTCTCACATAATGCTGAAGTGTTAATACTGCAAAATAGGAAGTTTATAGTATGACAGCTTATAAGTTTATAATATAACAAGAAGCCCACGGGCCTTCACGGTCACCTGATTTCTGATATATTTATACAGAGAGTTGTTTTTAGCTCACCTGGCACGAAGTGCCAAGTGAGCTTATGCCGTGGTGCAACGTCCGGTGTCCAGTGTCAATATTTTACTTTAAACGACTTAGGGTGACCTAGGGTGATGATATTTGGCCAGAAGCAAACTGCGATAAAGGGCTACTAAGTTTGTTCAAATAAATGACTTTCACCTATTTTCAAGGTCACAGGGGTCAAATATGTTAAAAACTTTAAACATCTTCTTCTCGATAACCAAACTGCCCAGGGTGATGATATTTGGCCAGTAGCATGCTTGGATGAAAGGGTACCAAGTTTGTTCAAATGAATGACCTTCATATATATTCAAGGTCACAGGGGTCAATTATCTTAAAAAAAACTTAAAACAACTTCTTCTGAATAACCAAAATGCCCAGGGTGATGATATTTGGCCAGTAGCATGCTGAAATGAAGGGCTACAAAGTTTGTTCAAATGAATGACCTTCACCCATATTCAAGGTCACAGGGGTCAAATATGTTAAAAACTTTAAACAACTTCTTCTCAATAACCACTTCTGAATAATCAAAATTCCCAGGGTGATGATATTTGGCCAGTAGCATGCTGATATGAAGGGTTACCAAGTTTGTTCAAATAAATTACCTTCACTTATTTTCAAAGTCACAGGGGTCAATTGTCTTAAAAAATATTTTAAACAACTTCTTCTGAATCACTTAGAGACCTAGGATAATGCATGATATTTGGCCAGTATCATTCTAGGATAAAGATCTACTAAGTTTTGTAAAAATGAATGACCTTTACCTATATTCAAGGTCACAGGGGTCAAATATGTTTAAAACCTTTAAACAACTTCTTCTCAATAACCAAGAGGCCTAGGATGATGCTATTTGACCAGTAGCGTGCTGTAATAGAGGTCTACCAAGTTTGTTCAAATGAATGACCTTGACTTATATTCAAGGTCACAGGGGTCAAATATGTTAACAACCTTTAAACAACTTCTCAATAACCAAGAGGCCTAGAATGATGCTATTTGACCAGTAGCATGGTGTAATAGAGGGCTACCAAGTTTGTTCAAATGAATGACCTTTGCACATTTTCAAGGTCACAGAGGTCAGATATGTTAAAACATTTAAACAACTTCTTCTGAATAACCAAGAGGCCTAGGGTGATAATATATGGCCAGTAACATGCTGGGATGAAGGGCTACCAAGTTTTGTTCAAATAAATGACTTTGAATCATATTCAAGGTCAATGGGGTCAAATATGTTAAAATCTTTTAAACAACTTCTTCTGAATTACTAAGAGACCTAGAATAATGCATGATATTTGGCCAGTATCATGCTAGGATAAAGAGCTACTAAGTTTTGTAAAAATGAATGACCTTTACCTTTATTCAAGATCACAGGGGTCAAATATGTTTAAAACATTTAAACAACTTCATCTGAATAACCCAAAGGCCTAGGGAGATGATATTTGGCCAATAACATACTGGGATGAAGGGCTACCAAGTTTTGTTCAAATAAATGACTTTGAATCATATTCAAAGTCAGTGGGGTTAAATATGTTAAAAACTAAACAACTTCTTCTCAATAGCCAAGAGGCCTAGGATGATACTAATTGACCAGTAGCGTGTTGTAATAGAGGTCTCCCAATTTTGTACAAATGAATGACCTTTGCACATTTTCAAGGTCACAGAGGTCAGATATGTTAAAACATTTAAACAACTTCATCTGAATAACCCAAAGGCCTAGAATAATGCATGATATTGGGCCAGTATCATGCTAGGATAAAGAGCTACTAAGTTTTGTAAAAATGAGTTACCTTTACCTTTATTCAAGGTCCCAGGGGTCAAATATGTTTAAATCCTTTAAACAACTTCTTTTGAATAACCAAGAGGTCTAGAACGATGCTATTTGACCACTAGTATGCTGTAATAGAGGGCTATCAAGTTTGTTCAAATGAATGACCTTTGCACATTTTCAAGGTCACAGAGGTCAGATATGTTAAAACATTTAAACAACTTCATCTGAATAACCCAAAGGCCTAGAATAATGCATGATATTTGGCCAGTATCATGCTAGGATAAAGAACTACTAAGTTTTGTAAAAATGAGTTACCTTTACCTTTATTCAAGGTCCCAGGGGTCAAATATGTTAACAACCTTTAAACAACTTATTCTCAATAACCAAGAGGTCTAGAATGATGCTATTTGACCAGTAGCGTGCTTTAATAGAGGTCTACCAAGTTTGTTCACATAAATGACTTTGAATCATATTCAAAGTCAATGGGGTTAAATATGTTAAAAACATTTAAACAACTTCTTCTGAATAACCCAAAGGCCTAGGGTGATGATATTTGGCCATTAACATGCTGGGATGAAGGGCTACCAAGTTTGTTCAAATGAATGACCTTCGCCCATATTCAAGGTCTCAGTGGTCAATGCATGTTTAAATCTTTAAATGATTTGTTCTGTATAACCAAAAGGTACAGGGTAACGATATTTTGCTAGAAGCATTCTGGGTTAGAAGACTATTAATAAACTCTGTTCAACCCAATGTCCTTGTTCGACATTCAAGGTCACGGGCGTCATATGTTTAAATCTTCTAATATGTTCTTATGAATCAAACACTGATATTCTGCCTGTAGTTGTATTTTAGTCCACTTTTAAGATTACAAGTGTGAGATTAATACCAGGTGAGCGATTCAGGCCCATTGGGCCTCTAGTTTGTTTTCAAAACATGAACAGAAATATTATTCAAAGTGACAAAAAAAATAAAACCACCTTATTCAATATCTAGCAAACAGATTTAAGACTGAAACGTATTTGAAACTAGCACCTCTGATTCTAAACAAGGAAAATGAAGAATTTTTAGCACACCGACTCATTTGGGCCCCACCCTACAGCCCTTGGGGATAGGGCTGGCTCAAAATTTTCAAAGTATCAAACTGTCAACTCAGGGTTATAATTCCAATCAAGTTATCAACATGTAATATCCAAAGTATCATTTGCCAATATAAACCATAATAAATTTTGCAATCCAATACTGATAATCCTAACCCAAATTGAATTACTTCCAGTGGAAATTAAACAAATGTTGGTCCAAAATGTGATTTCCCTATATAAACTATAGGAAAGTTTACCCCCTCCCCAGGGGGAAACGTGAGACCCCAGGGTCATGAAATTCACAATTTTGGAAAAGCACATTAAGACCCTTTCATCTATGAAGAGAATTTGATTCTACCATATCTGGATTGTGAGAAAAAGAGTTTTGATATTTTAGTCAATTTGACCCTTTTTGGCCCCGACCCTCTGTTTAAGCCATGCCCCTGGGGGCTGGGGACCATATAATTCACAATTTTAATTGACCTTTGGCCATGGAAGGTTTCTGTAAATTGTTTACAGACGGACGACAGATGACGCCAGACAAAAGGCGATAGCTTGAGACTTTGTCTCAGGTGACCTAAAAATACTGCATTTATCTGTCAATAAGCCCATGGCTCATATCAATAATACCACCAGTGGGATTGAGCTGAAACTTGCCTGAAATGATCCTGAAATGGTCCTGACCAAGTGTTGTTATTTTTCGGGTCAGTCCAAAATCCAAGATGGCCACCATGACCGCCATCTTGAAAAAACATTTTAAACTTCTTCTCAACCTCCACCAGTGGGAATGAGGTCAAACTTGCCTGAAATGATCCTGAGATTGCCTGACCAAGTGGGTTTTTTTCTGGGTTGGTCTAAAATCCAAGATGGCTGCCATCTTGAAAAACACTTTTTAAACTTCTTCTCCAGTACCACTTGTGCCATTGGTGGGGATGTTTTAGGGCCTGGAAAGTGGAACTTGACTATAAATTTGCTTTAAAATGCTATTCCTCCTTAATGCCTAAATGGATATTGGTCTGAAATATCATTAGGGGGGAGGAGGATAATCGTTTCTTGAATAAATGAGGCTGGTTCGACCCATGGGGGATAGAGAGGGCACCGCCCCAAGAAAAGAAATTACCTAAAATCATGCTTTTGCACACTACTCTTTAATGCCAAAAGTAGATTACAACAATTTCAGGTTGAAACATCATTTAGAAACAATCATTTTTTATATAAATGAGGCAGGTTTAACCACCGTTGACAGCGGGACGGGGCCTTAAAAGGAGTCTCTGTAGTCAGATGACCATTTAGGCCCATGGGCCTCTTGTTATTATAAAGTAGACAGTTTATCAATATAATGTTCAAATTTGAGCATATTTTCCTGCTGATAAATTCATGATGTTTCTATAGGAAATATTAATTTACTTTTACATTGACTGCTGTGTCTTTCACAACTCCTTACAACTTTTACTTTCAGGATTTGGGTTTGGTTTTAGGTTACAAATATAACAGGATCTGGAAGGTTCTTTTCAAAAGAAATATTCCATAATTGCATTTGTTTGGATTTTGAAAACAAGATATTTTAAGGGGGTCAAACTTATGTTGCCATATAAGAATTATGAAAGCACAATATCAAAATGAGTGTCAAATATTAGTTATTTGCGAAAAGGTTGAAAAACGTGACAGGGGAAGTTACTCTTAGCCAGTAAAGCTCAGACGAATACTCCAAGTCTGAGTGTTACTCTTCTTCACAATCATAACTGGTATCCTTCACCTTAATTGGATGATTTCAGGATCTGGAGCTGGAGCAAGGAGAAGTCCCAGGGAGAGTTAGAGGGTGATGAATTTGCAGGAACACGTGACCTTGAACTCATAGGCAATGTCCTGGTGGTGAGCACGGATCGTGGGATCAAATTTAGTCCTGTACCAGCTGACCATGACCAGGTGCTATATTCACTTCCTGTAGTTCTATCTGCAGAGTTCAAAGGGTAAGTTGTCATGATAATGTCATAGTGATAATTAGTATTTATCTGTGCCCCGAACATTCTATATTTACCACTCTATGGCACCCTAGTTCAGCTGGCATTCATATCAGTTATGACTGCCAGGGCCCACATATCGTTGTCATGATGGTGGATACCACTGAACCTGCCTTAAACATAGCTGTTCTATCAAGTTAATAAGCATGCACAATACCTTCACTTATTTAATCAAACAAAGTGCCAAGTGAGCTTATGCCGTGGCGCGGCATCCGTTCGGCGTCCGGCATCATATTTTACTTTAAACGACTTCTTCTTAATATCCGAAAGGCCTAGGGTTATGATATCTGGCCAAAAGCAAACTGAGATGAAGGGCTACAAAGTTTGTTAAAATTAATGACCTTCACCCATTTTCAAGGTCACTGGGGTCAAATATGTTAAAAACTTTAAACATCTTCTCGATAACCAAACTGCCCAGGGAGATGATATTTGGCCAGAAGTATGCTTGGATGAAGGGCTACAAAGATGGTACAAATGAATGACCTTCAAATATATTCAAGGTCACAGGGGTCAATTGTCTTAAAAGAACTTTAAACAACTTCTTTTCAATAACCAAAATGCCCAGGGTGATGATATTTGGCCAGTAGCGTGCTTAGATAAAGGGCTACAAAGTTTGTTCAAATAAATGACATTCACACATATTCCAGGTCACAAGAGTCAAATATGTTAAAAACTTTAAACACCTTCTTCTCAATAACCAAAATGTCCAGGCTGACAATATTTGACCAGTAGCATGCCGAGATAAAGGGCTATTAAGGTTGTTCAAATGAATGACCTTCACCTATATTCAAGGTCACAGGGGTCAAATATGTTAAAAACTTTAAACAACTTCTTCTCAATAACCACTTCTGAATAATCAAAATTCCCAGGGTGATGATATTTGGCCAGTAGCATGCTTAGATAAAGGGCTACAAAGTTTGTTCAAATAAATGACATTCACACATATTCAAGGTCACAAGAGTCAAATATGTTAAAAACTTTAAACAACTTCTTCTCAATAACCAAAATGTCCAGGCTGATAATATTTGACCAGTAGCATGCCGAGATAAAGGGCTATTAAGTTTGTTCAAATGAATGACCTTCACCCATTTTCAAGGTCACTGTGGTCAAATATGTTAAAAACTTTAAACACCTTCTTCTCAATAACCAAAATGTCCAGGCTGATAATATTTGACCAGTAGCATGCCGAGAGAAAGGGCTATTAAGTTTGTTCAAATGAATGACCTTCAATTATATTCAAGGTCACAGGGGTCAAATTTGTTTAAAAACTTGAATCGACCTCTTCTGAATAACCATGGGTCCCAGGATGTTGATACTTTGCAAGTTGCATCCTGAGATGAAAGGCTATAAAATGTGTTCAACATAATGACTTTGTTCGACTTTCAATCACAGAAGTGAAATGTTTTAAAAAAAAAAACTGGTTCTTTTGAATGAATTTTAATCATAAATACTGATATTTTGCCTGTAGCTTTATTTTAGATCACTTTAAAGGTTACAAGTGTGAGATTTATACCAGGTGAGTGATGCAGGCCCATTGGGCCTCTTGTCATGATGAAATTAATTCATTTTGTTGATCAAGCACTCCACTCACTCTGAACAAGGAAGGAACAATGATCTGCAAAGGTAGAGAGAGAATAAAAGTCACTGGCACCCAGGAAGAAATGAGGAATGGAAAGAAAGTGTACAGGGCAGCAATTTCTCTGGATAACATAGCAGTTGTGATGCTGGTACCCTCAGACCTGAATGGACCAAAGTATGTGATCAGCCTTTCTCTAACGTTAGATCACTCTGTCACTGTGTTACTCATATGCTGCATGATATTTTACAAGTTCAACTTCCTCTCAAATGTTTTGCACTCTTGAGAAAGAAGGGAAAAAGTCATCAATATTTAATATTAAACCCTGTGTATAAATTCAAAATGAAGACTTATAAATTTAATACCTTTTTGGCAGCTTACCAAATTGTTCCGTTTCTATTACATTGTTAGCTCACCTGGCCCGTGGCTATTGGTTGTGTAAAAAGAACTTCTCACAATCCATACCTACCAACCTGAAGAAAATGTTTAGAAATATTCTCCATGCTTATCTTAAGGAAAAGATCCCTGACAGTGTCTTTCAAGAGCTACGATGCCGAACTATTTGATTCAACCCCGAATTTTACATGAAGGCTCATCCCGGTCAAGGTTAACAATACAAAATTGTATTGTTGAAGCATGTAATAAAATAGTTATGGGCTTTTGTGCTGATAAATATGATGTGATATGAACCTGAAACAAGAGACTGATGGGCCTTAACGGTCACATGAGTCCTACAGTATTTATTTTTGTTGTTGAAATATGTACCAATTTGAGTAAACAATAGTTAAGTATAACATTAACTTAAGTTTGTCAGGTCCATGAGCTGATCACTCCTAGACCAAGTTTCAGTTAGATCGGCCTATTAGAACTTGCTTTTAAGTTTGAAATAGTTATTTTCAAAATAGCAGCCATGGCAGCCAAATTGTATTTCTGATCGACCCGAAAAATAACAACACTTTGTCAGGACCATGAGTCGATCATTCCTACAAAGTTTCAGTTCAATCGGCCCAGCAGAATTTAACTTAAGTTTGAAATAGTTTTTCAAAATGGCAGCCAAGACGGCCATATTGGATTTCTGATCGGCCCAAAAAATAACAACACTTTGTCAGGACCATGAGTCAATCATTCATATTAAGTTTCAGTTCAATCGACCCAGTAGAACTTGACTTTAAGTTTGAAATAGTTTTTCAAAATGGCGGCCATGGCGGCCATATTGGATTTCTGATTGACCCGAAAAATAGCAACACTCTGTCAGGATCATGACTCGATCATTCCTACTAAGTTTCAGTTCAATCGGCCCAGCAGAACTTGACTTTAAGTTTGAAATAGTTTTTCAAAATGGCGGCCGTGGCGGCCATATTGGATTTCTGATCGACCTGAAACACTTGGTCAGGGAGATGTCAGTAACCTTCCCATGAAATATTAATGAAATCCCTTAGCCAGTATTTCAGCACAAGTTGAAAATGTAAAATGTTTACGGACGACGCATGGACGAAGACGGAGAGCAATAGGAACTATATATTAAGCTCAGGTGACTTAAAAATGATATTGACCTCCGCTTCGCCTCATATCATATTCACCAGCACAAAAGTCCATAATTGTATAGTATAGAATAAATAGTGTGTAGTAAAAAGAAGACATTGAAGTAGCACTGTACTATTATTTATGCATGGTATTAATTTGGTTATATTATCATAAAGTAAAATGTAAAGCGAAAATTACATTACAAATGTTGTAAAAAAATTCCATTACAAATGTTGCTTTTGTAACAGGGGCGAGACAGACCCAGTTATTTCCCCAAAGTAAATGTATAGGGACACCATTGTGAAGCCTGCCCAAAATCAAAAGAAACACATTCATGCTGCTTTTTGATTTTTTACGACGTAAGGTTTTTTTCTGAAGATATATGTATATTTTAAGAGATTTCATGTAAAATCCAAAAATGAATTGAAAAAAAGAATTACAAAGTTAACATTTTAAATATCAAATTTTCTCAAAGGTATATGTAAGTGGTTCCTCAGTCCAAATAGTAATGAAGAACCGTTTTTTTTAAGATCTTTCTATGATGTTTTTATGTAAAATTTCAGATTGATGACTACCATTGAGATCCTCATGGCTGTAACTCTGCCAGGTTATGGTACCGAGACATGCTTCATTAGTCAGCAAGGTAAACAGCATTTATAGATTATTTCACTAGTGTAAAACAGACATGCTTCATTAGGCAGCAAGGTAAACAACACTTATAGATTATTGCACTAGTGTAAAACAGACATGCTTCATTAGTCGTCAAGGTAAACAACATTTAAAGATTATTTCACTAGTGTGAAACAGACATGCTTCATTAGGCAGCAAGGTAAACAACATTTATAGATTATTTCACTAGTGTGAAACAGACATGCTTCATTAGGCAGCAAGGTAAACAACATTTATAGATTATTTCACTAGTGTAAAACAGACATGCTTCATTAGGCAGCAAGGTAAACAACATTTATAGATTATTACACTAGTGTGAAACAGACATGCTTCATTAGTCAGCAAGGTAAACAACACTTATAGATTATTACACTAGTGTAAAACAGACATGCTTCATTAGTCGTCAAGGTAAACAACATTTAAAGAATATTTCACTAGTGTGAAACAGACATGCTTCATTAGTCAGCAAGGTGAACAACATTTAAAGATTATTTCACTAGTGTGAAACAGACATGCTTCATTAGTTAGCAAGTTAAACAACATTTATAGATTATTACACTAGTGTGAAACAGAAATGCTTCATTAGTCAGCAAGGTAAACAACATTTATAGATTATTACACTAGTGTAAAACAGCCATGCTTCATTAGTCGTCAAGGTAAACAACATTTAAAGATTATTTCACTAGTGTGAAACAGACATGCTTCATTAGTCAGCAAGGTAAACAACATTTATAGATTATTACACTAGTGTGAAACAGACATGCTTCATTAGTTAGCAAGTTAAACAACATTTATAGATTATTACACTAGTGTGAAACAGACATGCTTCATTAGTTAGCAAGTTAAACAACATTTATAGATTATTACCCTAGTGTGAAACAGACATGCTTCATTAGTCAGCAAGTTAAACAACATTTATAGATTATTACACTAGTGTGAATCAGACATGCTTCATTAGTCAGCAAGGTAAACAACTTTTATAGATTATTTCACTAGTGTGAAACAGACATGCTTCATTAGTCGTCAAGGTAAACAACATTTATAGATTATTACAATAGTGTGAAACAGACACGCTTAATTAGTCAGCAAGGTGAACAACATCAATAATTTATAGTATTACACTAGTGTGAAACAGACATGCTTCATTGGTCAGCAAGGTATTCAACATTTATAAATAAAAGTATTACACTAGTATAAAACAGACATGCTACATTAGTCAGCAAGGTAAACAACATTTATAGGTTATTTCACTAGTGTGAAACAGACATGCTTCATTGGTCAGCAAGGTATTCAACATTTATAAATAAAAGTATTGCCCTAGTATAAAACAGACATGCTACATTAGTCAGCAAGGTAAACAACATTTATAGATTATTTCACTAGTGTGAAACAGACACACTTCATTAGTCATGAAGGTAAACAACATTTATAAATTATAGTATTACACTAGTGTGAAACAGACACGCTTCATTGGTCAGCAAGGTATTCAACATTTATAAATAAAAGTATTGCACTAGTATAAAACAGACATGCTACATTAGTCAGCAAGGTAAACAACATTTATAGATTATTTCACTAGTGTGAAACAGACACACTTCATTAGTCATGAAGGTAAACAACATTTATAAATTATAGTATTACACTAGTGTAAAACAGACACACTTCATTAGTCATCAAGGTAAACAACATTTATAAATTATAGTATTACACTAGTGTAAAACAGACACACTTCATTGGTCATCAAGGCAAACAACATTTATAAATTATAGTATTACACTAGTGTGAAACAGACACGCTTCATTGGTTATCAAGGTAAACAACATCTATATATTATAGTATTGCACCTGTGTGAAACAGACACCCTTCATTTGTCATGAAGGTAAACAACATTTATAAATTATAGTATTACACTAGTGTAAAACAGACATGCTTCATTTTTCATCAAGGTAAACAACATTTATTCATTACATAACAGTTTACCACATTAGTTGACATGAAATTGATAAAGTCGTTTGTTTTATCTGTGGTAGTTGGGGTGCTGTTTGGATGGAGTCATTCCAAGGAGACGGCAGAAGACTACAGGGAACATGTGTTCCAGGTGGACTATGATGCTAGACTAAGGGGCGTGCTACCCTTCCTCGGCTATGGGCCACGCTCATTTTTGCCAGTGTACTTACCAGGTGACTCAGACATACAGGCTAAACATCCAGGCCACGGACAGGCAGGGTGGTACGTGTTCATGAGGGACGGACACGAGGGTATCATAGGGATCAAACTGTTCTGTTAATGTCGCAGACACTGGAAAGTAGGGACACTACAAAGCCATATTCCTGTGTATACACTTGGCAATTTTTATTATTTTCTCCTTAATATTCTGGGCCATCACCCAATTCATTATGACATATTTTGTACATTTGGGGATTGAATTAAAACAAATATACTAGGCCCTTGTTGTAAGTCAACTTTGTTCCCACTTCATAACTATTTTTATCTTGTTCCTTGGTACCGGTATACAAAGCTCAACTCGTATCTAACAGTTAACCCTTTCACCCCTATGCAACTTTAGTAAACTCTACCAGGCATTGATCTGGATGAGTCCATTTTGGTCTACAGTGGTGAAAGGATTAAATGTAGTGATTTTAAATTCCTTCTTCTTCTTCATTGTCTTTTGGTATCAAAAGAGGTTTTTTTACCCAGAGCATAATTCGAGAATATTTTGTTGAGAGTGGAACTTTTTTACTATTTCACCAGTCCTATTACAGTACCTGTATTCATGAAACTTGCTATACTTACCCGTATGTATCATGGGATGGCAGAATCTCAGGTAATAAATTGAGCCTCATTCTTCTCTTTATGCATTGTTAATGCCCCTTGTTCTTTTATAAACACATTTTTTGTGAATATTTAGAATACCTACTTTCGCCCTTGCGGTGCTCTAAGAATCTTTACATTTATAATTAGCTTACTTATCCTGCAATATTGTAAAAATGTCCTTTCATACCATATAGATGTATACGTACCTTTCTGTTTATTTTGGATGATTTTACCCTTGAATACTTTTGTGTGTTGTTGTTGATGTTTGTTTATCTTTTTAGAAAAATAGTGTATTGATAATTCATGTTACACCAGGAGCTATAAACTTGTTTTCAAATCCCGAAATGTTTTTTGTTTTGTTTTTTTCATTCCTTTTGCAACATACAAATCATGTTATGACATGATAGGTACAATGGATTGCTTCCAAAGAAAGAAATACAGAACACTCAGCACTATGCTTTATATAATGCAAGACAACCTTTGCAAATTTTGCTATGGTGAAGTACAAGTTTATACACTTACATTATATTTATAGTTTACGTTACATAATAAATCCATCCATATCACAGGATATGAAACTTGGTGTTTTTTTATTTCTTCAGTCAGTGGCGGACCCAGGAGTGTTGCCCTAGTTGCCCGGGCAACACCCTTTTTTCTGTGTCCAAAATTAATCTGGACCAAGGTTTTTGAAGATTTTCCTCTATTTCATATGGGATTTCCTTCTTATATCAACCATCCCTTCAACTATGATTTTCTATGGCTTTCCCTTGGCAGCAGTTTGAATATCTATATAATTATGCCTAAGGGTGTTGCCCAAATAAGGAGTCCACTACTTATACTCTAAACAATAGGGGATTAATCCTCCATTGTCTATATATTAGTAGGGTCTCCAGTCAGGTCAGTGGTCAAGGCTCACCGGTGTCATGCATAAAAAGTACCCCCCTACCAAAAAGTATCCGGATACTTTTTATACCTGCATAAAATGTACCCCCTGCATAAAAAGTACCCCCCTTGTGAAAAAAAATATATTTATCTATTTTCAAACCAATTAAATTAAGTTCAGAACTTGAACAGGACATCACAGGGGAATATTTATCCACCCCTACCCCACCAATCCCCACCCCCGGGGCCAGGAAATTATGCCAAAATTATTTTTAATCGCTGGACACAATAAGGATTGGGGAGTCATGTAAAAACTCATATTTGTTGTAAATAATGAACTTGGTATCATGAATACAAACTGATATTAATTGATCCTTTTCGTTTTCAAAACAACCCCCATATTAAGATGATGTCAAATATATTTTAAAAAAATACAGCATTATTTGAACATGCCAAAAAAATATAGATACTAATTCATACATGGTATGATATTATCCATCTTATTTATCAATTAATTGACACAAAATATAGCAACCAATATAGGTAATTATTGTAAAGTAAAGGTAATTATTGTAATGTAAAGGTAATTATGGTAAAGTAAAGGTAATATTTGTAATGTAAAGGTAATTATAGTAAAGTAAAGGTTATATTTGTAAGGTAAAGGTAATTATTGTAATGTAAAGGTAATTATGGTAAAGTAAAGGTAATATTTGTAATTTAAAGGTAATTATAGTAAAGTAAAGGTAATTATTGTAATGTAAAGGTAATTATTGTAATGTAAAGGTAATTATGGTAAAGTAAAGGTTACATTTGTAAGGTAAAGGTAATTATTGTAATGTAAAGGTAATTATGGTAAAGTAAAGGTAAGATTTGTAAGGTAAAGGTAATTATAGTAAAGTAAAAGTTACATTTGTAAAGTAAAGGTAATATTTGTAAGGTAAAGGTAATTATTGTAATGTAAAGGTAATGATGGTAAAGTAAAGGTTATATTTGTAAGGTAAATGTAATTATTGGAATGTAAAGGTAATTATGGTAAAGTAAAGGTTACATTTGTAAGGTAAAGGTAATTATTGTAATGTAAAGGTAATTATGGTAAAGTAAAGGTTACATTTGTAAGGTAAAGGTAATTATTGTAATGTAAAGGTAATGATGGTAAAGTAAAGGTTATATTTGTAAGGTAAATGTAATTATTGTAATGTAAAGGTAATTATGGTAAAGTAAAGGTTACATTTGTAAGGTAAAGGTAATTATTGTAATGTAAAGGTAATGATGGTAAAGTAAAGGCTATATTTGTAAGGTAAATGTAATTATTGTAATGTAAAGGTAATTATGGTAAAGTAAAGGTCATATTTGTAAGGTCTGGTGTGATACAGGACTGACATATATAGTATAGTGATGACTAATAGTATAATACATAACTGACAGGTATAGTATAGTGATAAGTTGTAGTGTAATACAGGACTGACAAGTATAGTATAGTGATGACTAATAGTATGATACATAACTGATAGGTATAGTATAGTGATAAGTTGTAGTGTTATACAGGACTGACAGGTATAGTATAGTGATAAGTAATAGTGTGATACAGGACTGACAGATATAGTATAGTGATGACTAATAGTATGATACATAACTGACAGGTATAGTATAGTGATAAGTTGTAGTGTTATACAGGACTGACAGGTATAGTATAGTGATAACTAATAGTGTGATACAGGACTGACAGATATAGTATAGTGATGACTAATAGTATGATACATAACTGACAGGAATAGTATAGTGATAAGTTGTAGTGTAATACAGGACTGACAGATATTGTATAGTGATGAGGTCTGGTGTGATACAGGACTGACAGATATAGTATAGTGATGAGTTATAGTGTAATACAGGACTGACATGTATAGTATAGTGATAAGTTGTGTTATACAGGACTGACAGGTATAGTATAGTGATGATGTCTAGTGTGATACAGGACTGACAGGTTTAGTATAGTGATGAGGTCTAGTGTGATACAGGAGTGACAGGTGTAGTATAGTGAAAACAACATTATTACCAAATTTGGTTGTAATTATGCTCAGACGGTTGGTATTCTCAATTGTATAAACAGAGAGGGTGTTTGACAGGTGTTTGACTGAGAGAGGGGTCAAAAAGGAGTTACTTTAGTAAGCAAATAGACAGGGTTATAAAATAACCATAGCTGAGAGCAAAGTCAAATCTAAATAAATCGTAAAAAGATAAGCTAGGTGATCATAAGCAAAAGGCCTTCATTTAAAATTCCTGTGACAGAGAATACCCAGTGTTTAAAAAAAGAATTGGCATAATTTCCTGGCCCCGGGGTGGGGATTGGTGGGGTAGGGGTGGATAAACATGCAACTGTAACCTTCTGATCAACTTCTGAACTGTTATTGATTAAACATTTTGAAACATTTGGTTTTTTCATAGGGGGGTACTTTTTATACAGGGGGGGTACTTTTTGGTAGGGGTATAAAAAGTATCCGGATACTGTTTATTCTGCATAAAAAGTATCCGGATACTATTTAAGCAGAATAAACAGTATCCGGATACTGTTTATTCTGCATAAAAAGTATCCGGATACTATTTAAGCAGGAGGTACATTTTATGCATGACACTGGACTGACTCTACCTAATTATCTTATTGTTCTAAGGTCACAGTGTGGTAACCATCCTGTCTTGAAATTAGGTATAGGTAAAGTGTTATTTCAAAGGTAGAGTCTATTTCATGATAGATATATATACCTGTATTTTCAACAGTGGTTTCAAGTACACATAGTCACCAGGAGTGATTTATGATACCAATTAAAAAATATAAATTTCAAAAATTTCAAAGACAATGAAGCATCCTCCTTATAGCATCACTTCATCAGGCGACTAATAACCAAGGTTAGCATTTAGTGTTGCCATTGTACATATGTATGCATACTATTTCACAATAATCACATAGTTCATATTTATGACAAAATGAATTAATATTAAATTGTGCACATGCTTGCTTAAATTACATGTACATGTAGATTTGCAGGTATTATCAGCTGAACTGCAGAAAAGCCCCCCCCCCCCCCCCCCCCCAAACTTTAAAACTTTAACAAGTGACCATTTTAAGGGCCTGACACAAACTTCAAAATTTTAACCAAAAATCTACATTTTTACCATTTTTCTTACAGAATTTGTTAACACTCGCTCCGCTCGACCATCATAATATATAAATATTCTAGTTATAAAATATAGGCTGGAATAATACCACAAACTCAGAAAACTTTTCTATGCCTCACTCCATCTGTTTGTCAATAGAAATAATGTCCCATAAATTCTTGCTTTCTACCCTCAGCAGTACTAGTGCTTGCAATAGTTTAGTATTACATCTTCAGAAATAAAAAAAATCGTCCCAATCTCTGCAAAAGAGAAGTTCTATATGTATTTGGTGGCAGGAAGTAGTATACATGAAGAACCGACATGACAATTCTAATTTATAAGTTTTAGATAAGTGCAAAAACCTGTCTTTTTCCGAGTTTAAAATTTTGGGCAACACCCAAAATTAATTCCTGGGCCTCCCCCCTCCCCACTTGCTTCTAGTTGCTTTTATATATAAATACCATACTGAACTACAATTGTATACACTTTTATTTTATCCGGTTATCAGGACCAGAAATCAATATTTAAACGCGCTTATAAATAACCGCTTCAAAATTCTCCAAAATGTCGTCGACATACATCGTTTTTACCGGTTTTCTGATGTTTAGTCATTGTGTAATCTTAAAATGTTCCTGAAAACAAAACTATCAGTGGAAATGGTGAGAAATGATTCTTTTGTTATATAGTCAGAGGAAAATGCTCAAATTTATTTTTAAAATGCTGTTCGAACCATTTTTTACCGTGTACCAATTTGGGTAGCGTACCAATTGTGGTAGCGTGACGCGTACGTTAGCTGTCTTTGCCGAAAATGTTCATACATGGACTAAGACCACCGTCATTCCGTAATTAAATTGCCAATTTCATTAAATCAATATAAGTAGGAACGGCACAACATCAAGTGTACTTACCACAGCCAACAACTGCACCGTTTAAATGGGGGATGGGTGGGGGTCGTACACCGAAAGCAGGACAATACATTATCGGTATTTTATTTTGAACTTTTATATCATCGGAAAATTTCAAAATAAAATATCTGAAATTTCAAAACCAAATCAAATCGATCGTACCTAACATTACCCTGTTCCTGCAGCTACGCTCGTACAGATTACTTAAGACAATTGAACGTCTTCGGCAATAAAAAGGATGACACGGACCATTTGCATTTACAGTTTATCATAAATGTGTCAGTCCATGTTACAACACTGACTTAGATAGCAATTTACTTCCATGGTTGTACAAGTTATGGGAAATGATGTAGCAGTATTTAAGCTTTGTGCAGTCTACAAAGGCATTTTAACAAATAACATTGAATAACTTTTTGCAGTACGTTTTTAGAATGAATTACGAATCTTGGAGCCACAGATTGATTTGATCAAATTAACAAAAATACTGTAAAAGTGGGCGTTACGACTCGTTAAACTGATCGCTGTATGGAATGTTTTGCGTTGACAATGACTCTGAAATCGCATGTGAATATTTCCGCGCTAATTTACTCAACTTCGATTTCCACACCGCAAAAATGTCGGCTTTTGCAGTATACAGCGTCAACACATCAAGTTAGCACTGCAGTGACGTCATGTTCCTATAGAATACTTACTTGTTTTGTAAACTTGTCTTTCTTCGCGAAGATAATATTTTTGTTTTGCGTTTCACTTCGCTGACGTTTTAGAATAGCTGATAGTTTCGATGATTTGTCGGAAATGCCCGAGTGCTATTTGACGGAAATGCCCAAGTGGTTAATCGACTGGAAGGGAACGTACGCGTGTACTTGACTATCAGACGGGACCTTACATTATGACGAGGTATAGCTATTATCTGTAGAACTGACCTAAAACCAGCTGAGCAGGTGTATAACAAATAAAATGTACCCTCGCTGCAGGTGTATTTTATATTAAGGATACATAAACTATCTATTTGGAAAAAGGCATAATACAACCCAAAACACAGGTTGTCCATTTTTTTTACAAAATGATAGTACAGTTAAAGAATTCAGATCAATTCTAGTTATAGTGTTTATATAGGAAATAGCATGGCCGTATGCGTAACAATAAGATGTGTGTACAATGATTACTAAAAATACAAGGAATAAAACACCTACATTGTACTTGAGAAATTATTTTCAGATTTTACTGCACCATTTAGAGGTTTCCTCCATTTAAGGCAAATCAGTGGTACTTAATATCAACAGAAAAATCCATGTATGAAATGTTCCGACTAGTATGCAATCGAAAACCGTCGGCACTTTCCAATAAACGATTCTCGTTAACGGAAAGTGCCGACGGTTCGATTCTCGATTGAATCATATATGTAGATTGCAGCGAAAGGGCAAGATGCTACACGTACTTGAACTAGATTTGCATGTTAAACCTTCCAGAACAAATTCCAGCAGCAAGGCTACAGTAATCTGCACAGTCGAACACTTCGTCACGTAAAAAATCACTAAAAATGCGAAAAATCGAAGCACCATATTGAAAATTTTGTTTGAAGACGCAGAAAGCCATACAAAGTAAACACTCTACTATCTAAGTATGAATACTGTAGAAGCTGCCAGGGTTGGGAAGCTTTAGCATCAGCCTTAAACGGTTTGATGTCCTATTTTTTATCTTTGTTCCTGGATTCTTTATTGCATACAGTCCAAGATGTGTTAAAGGGATTTTTTAGCTAACAAAACTTGTACATGGTCCTTTGTTTTAAAGACACGTACACAATGATCCCGTACATTCGTGTAAAAGATTTTAAACGCATTTAAAAAAAACAATTGGTTGATTTAAATTCTGTTTTGTGGAGTTTTCTTACCGACAATGTGAAGCCATATTGACTGATATAAACCTTTGATCACCATGTGGTTAACGCGGAAGATACTCTGACATTTAGGTATCCGGTATCTATGTTGGAGAAGGACAACCATCATTATTGATTGGAACATCTTAATTTACATCGTTGAATGTAAAAAGTCTTATTCAATGGGGAAAAACGTATTCTTCTACGACTACCACAGGTAATAAACGCCATTTTTCTTGAATGCTATTACTTTCGACGCAAATCTCGCAAAATGGAGGTTACTCTTTGTATGAAAAACTGCAATGGAGTTCTCTTGTGCTTTGCTTGCAGTGGGACCGAGATCCTTCACTTGCATATCGTAAAATGTTAATTAATTAATGTAAAGGTTGAATAATAATACCAAAACGGCTACATTTTTCGGTTCAGTGAGAAACTATGGATTTCTCCTAATTAACTTTGCCTGTTTTTATTAGTCATACAGAAAATATTTTGTTTCAACTGATTTTCCAACAGAACCGTTGAAAATCGGTTAAGGATTCATCGCAGACTGGTATTTGGCTGTTTTTCGTTTATTCACAAATAACAAGTGAATATTGAAGTGTCAACACAACCATGATAACAAACCATGATTGACCTCCAAATCGATAAAACGAGCACAGCATATCAACAAAGGAAACATTTGGATGGAGACCATTGAAAATTACAAGGAGAATGTGATCTGGTGTTTGGAATGGTAAACGTCTTCCGCTTTGTCGCTGACACCTGTAAAGTTTGAGAGCAGGGATGTTGCTATCAAGAAAGGAACAGTTCACAATAGGAAAATCGAATCTTCCTGCTTAGCATATAGATTAGTAGAAAGCCGTCCCTTTTGATCTTGTTGTGAGTAAAGATCGCAGTTAGCAGTAGCAAATTCTGTTGTGTCCTTAATTTCAAGCTCATGAGGTTACGGTCGACGTGGTTAATACATTTCTTCTTATTTAAAGATAGAACGTCATCGATATGTTGAAGGACTTGGCTAGGTGATTTTTTTTACCATCAACGATACACCTTTTCAATAAATTCAGCCTGATGTGAAATCAAACACAAATCGGCAAGAAGAGGCGCACGTCTGGTTCCCAAATGCTACTGAAAACAGTTTCAAAAATACAAACTTGCTTTTAGATACGAAACGAACTAGGATCTTACAATTTGTACCATTTTGTACGCAAAACGTAGTTCCGCTAGATATTTAAATAGGCGGCGAAATATACATGCGCACAGTTAGGAGTAACCACCTCATCAACAATCACCACGTTGATGTTCAGTTTTCACACAGTAAATCATAACATGTTATAGTTTTGCTGCAATTGTACATGTAACATCGTTTATGTCCACGTCTGTTAATAGGTATTAAACAATGATGTACATTGTAGGTAAACCGCTATTTCAGACTTGAAACACAGATACGAGAACTTTATTCTTTTTAAAGATTTCTTGTTACTATACGTACATTGTAACATTCAAGTTTTCAACGAACGGCTCGTGGAGTGTAATAAAAAAAGATTCCCGAATCGTTAGAATCTGGAATATTCAAAATATTTCCAAATCTGAGAAACAAGTGATAAAAACTACATGCTTCAATGTCATGGGTCTTAAATGATACAGGTCCTATGTACCTTTTTTTCGAGCATAAGAACACAAATTTTACCTGTACGATTTCAGCTGGTGCGATTTAGTATCGAACGTTCGACAAGATATCTCAAGTGAGGTGAGGTATCAGTATCTGTATCCATGGAGATACTAAGCTAGATTGCGGGATGCACCTGTCGCAGATACACGTGGTATATATGTCGGTGCGTATGCTCTGGAATCATCATTGTGGAAAACATTGCGGACCAGCTAGCCGTCAAGATGACGACGTGCAAGGTAAGCGTCTTACTCGAAATTCCAGGGGTCTCGTTCACTAAGTTTCTCTATTTCCTGGAACATGTTATGACCAAATATCAAAAGAATCGCGTGGCAGCGAAATGGTAAAATCACCGGTTTTAACATATGGCTTGGCTCCCTTGAAATATTTAAAGCACACGTATCAGTATAGCGATTTCAATCAAATAGCTAACTGCCTGCCAACGATTTTGTCATGATATATCATAGACCTGTGCAGAAACCTAAGAAAGGGTAAATGTATATGAGACTAAACTTAAAAAACGAAATATACCCGGCAAATTACTGTTTTATAGAATATTTCCCCGAAAATCACCAAATTACAAAATACAAAATGTGTTTGAAATGACATGCCTTTTACACGTGCTTTCTGATCGTTCAAAGTTCGGGGGGGGGGGGGGGGGGTATCTAGGCACGTTAACAAGTTTAGCGATCTTGTCAATAACCCGCGTAAATTAGACAAATATATAAGGTCTTTATGTTAACGTGTAACGTTCTGATAATTCAGCGATAAATCAACCTAAAGCTGTATTATATTTTCTCCCTCATTTACAGGACTGCATCGTGTTTTACCTATTCATGATTTCTCAATTATCCCCTATTGTATGAAAGAAATCACGTGGAAAGAAAAAATACTATGACATCAAGAAAACAATCAAACATGTCGTCACAATCAGTTGTCGCGGGTAATGCCATGAGCAAATAAGGATATAAAAAAAATCCGTTTCTTGGGTGGTTTTTTTTAAGAAAAAGAATCATCTCGTAGGGAGAAGGTAAATCAGAAATGTCAAACCTCGGGGTAAAATTCTTGAATTTGTTACCCTCGACTTAACGCAAGCCCTGGGTTAGACAAAATGCATTACTTTCATTATGCAGAAATAATACGACAAAGAAAAAACAGCGAAAAATGGTCAGGTGGACACGTCATTACTTTCGTCTTTTTCAGTTCCTAGGAAATTGTTTTTGTAGCCCTTTTCTAGAGAGGAAATAATATCGAGGAAACTCGAGAACGTGATATCGATGTGATGTTATATTGTCCCGTCATGTGATTAATATTATTCAATAAGACACGCTGTTATAAAGATGGAGTATAAAGAATCCCCCCCCCCCCCTCCCTCTCCTCCCTTTATCATAGAGGAAGATCCTATTAATAAAATAGCGATATTAACGATATTAAATTAATCATCTTTGAAAATTTAAACCAAATAATGAATTTGCAACGGATAGAAGAATAGCGAAACGGTTCAAGTCTTTTCTTGTGTTTCCATCGGGTGCCGCAAAGCCATATCCAGCTATACGTGCGCATCGTTAAAATAATTTAACGCTTCAAGAAAAAAAAGTATAGTTTTCTTTGTGATTGAATACCGCGAAATTGACCGATGTCGAAAAATATAATTGAAAAAGAATGCTATGCATTACAAACACAACTTTAAACAAGCAGAATACATCGATTGCCACTGTCGTTTCATATAAACCCTGGATTAGATTTTGTTTTATTTCCGTTTTCTTCCTTTCTTTTGTCTATATGGTTAAACTGTCTAATTCCATAATTCTGTTCGCTAGGATTAATTGTTTTCTCCATTCATGTTTCTCGCAGACGACAAAAACAATTATCATTCTAAATTTCGAAGCGGATCCGAACTGAAAATTTGGCTTAGCTACTAATGCAAAATGATACGGGTAGATATATCCGGGAGCGGGCGATGTCGACCGATTTTGATTGGTATCCATAGGTTATTTCACATTGATATTATAGCGATAGCTGAAATACTTGAGAGGTTATTATCTGACTGTTTTCATGTAAGACCCAGATCGGCCCAAACTATCGCCGAAGGTTTACGGGACTGAAATAGGTCGAGAGACACACTATGGAGTCTGATATGAAAACATTCATGTTGTAAAAAAAAAAAGAAAAAAAAAAGTTTTTTATGATGATGTATAGGCCTTCATTAATTTTATCCCAAACATTAGTTTGCTTGTGTAGACGATCAAATATCAAACTTCGAAGCGGACCCGGGAATAATATTTTGTTTAGCTAAGACAAGGCCCAGATAGGATACGGACATATATAGCTGGAAGTAGGCGATGTGGCAAGATGCGGACAATACCGACAGTTGGTAAAGAATCTATTGTTTAAGTAATTTTAATGATATTTCAAGAAATAACCATCCTCGATATCCAGGGTTTACGCATCCTCGATAATCCAGGGGTTACGATTACTTTCGCTCTCTGCAAACCTGGAATATGTCATAGCAAAATTGAAGGCTCAGTGTGCGCCACGTTGTTGATGAGACAAAAAGACCAGTTCGATCATTTGATGTACATCAAAAGAATCGATCACGTAACGGTAAACATTGACAGGCTTTGAAATCGGGTGTCGCTCCTTTGTAATCTTCAAAGGACAGGTATCAGCCTAGCGATTGGTCAGTTTTTTTCACCTGAAACCAATCAAACAGCTATCTTCGTGCCTTCAATTTTGCTATGACATATTCCAGGGGCGCAGAGAGCAAACGTGAGCGTAACCCCTGGATTATCGAGGATGAGCAGTGACATGATCGATACAAACAATGGTGTTCGTAAGACAGGACATGCCGCCCAATTTTATGGTGAATTTGGGATATCGGTTTTCATTTTTAAAAAGCACTTTATCTCACCTATTTAGATGAGGTCTATATAAAAAAGAATAGACCTCATCTAAATAATAACGTGTCTGATTGGATTATATTGATCACGCGACGATGTAATAAATAAACATGTTGTCCTCACGCACTCGAGTTTCGCAAACATATTTTCGGAGACTGTGTAGAAAAAGTTAGCAAGAGGCGACGCACTTCGTTTCGAATGACTGAAGGAGACGATAAAAATGGCGCGGAAGGCTGATCATCTCAATTGATTGTATTGTTCTACGTCGGAAAAATGAAATAAATAATGCCCGTGCGATAGGTTAACTCGCTTCTTTGTTCCCTCGATTAATCATGTTTCACTCTGGCGTCGCTCTTGTGAAACATGATTAATTTCTGGAAAACAAATAATCATGTTTCACTTCCACGAGGCTACCACGTATAGAATATTGTCATGTGCCTTCTAGATCAAAACGTATGAAAAGTAGGCAATAAAGCAAGGATTCCCTTTTCAGCGTTTTACAGTACTTACATTTCATCTCTTATTAATCTACAAACTAAGATGAATTTCTAAATTTTTGTTTGTGATCGGATTCCTTTGTATGTTTGCAGTGTATGCTGTCCCTGTTGTTGCTCAGCCTGCTCGCTGTTACCGCAGCCGTCCACCAGGCAGAGATAGACAAGCTTGTCAAGGACATCGAAGAGCTCGCCAGACATCTGATGCTTCAACAGTTGGTCATTGAAGAGAGGATCCGGTCCGACGGAAATTCAGGGGTGAAGCAGATCAGAGGCACACATAAAGGAACAAGAGCCTACTTTGGAGACACATTCAACATGGGATCGATGTTGTCTATCCACGACCATACGAACTACGACCGGACCGTTGGTATGGGTGAGTTCAGTGCTGTTATGAATGGATTAGAGTTCAGGACAAGACACAACGATTACAAACTTCGCATGCCAAGTGAAAATAGCACTAAATTCCATCTTCTTCAAGATTTACCGTTCCCGGAAGTTCCGCCATCAGTTATGGCAAAGCATAGCGTGCCAGACCAGATCAAGGAAATGCGTGAGTACTTCAGAGCCTTTAAGGAGCAGAACTCGTCTATCCGCCATGATTACGCTAACTACTTCAAGCCGGTAATGTGTTATGTTGAAGGCGCCTGGACCACGGACACGAAATCCATCAGTGAACCATTTCACAGCGACCGTCATTTCTTGGATGCGTCCAGTTGGTTCGATCTCCTGGAGAAGGTTCGATTCACATCCTACACTGGTGGGAAAAGCAACTTCGAAAACTACAGCTTTCTTCCAACAACAATTACAGATGTCGTTAACGGAAATCCGGTTTATGCGCAGTGGAATTATAGGATAATTTGCCACCCTATCCGTACCAGAATGGGGCTCAGTAGTTTAGCTCTTATTGACGATCTAGGTATCCGGATGGCCCATAGGTACTCCTTTGAAAAAGCAAACCATGCGAGAACCGCTCGATATCGACTTACTCCTCGTAGCTTTAACCGGTATAACAGTACAAATCAGGCTTCTAGTACTCTTAACCTCGAATATACCGGAGTGGAACTTCTCGACAGTATAATGAATGAGATTCCGGGCAAAGACAACTACCATCATACCCTGACGGACGATGCTTTTGGACAGACGGAATACAATATGCTCAACAGTGGCAAAAGCCCACAAAACGCTGCCTACTACCATCACCTTACTGACTCCAAACTTCCTAACGCGCAGGGAGATCACATCTATTATAAGGGATTCTCAGACGAAAATCTTTGGGTAGCTGAAACAACTCAACCACGAGTAGCCCCAATGACTGTGACATCCTGTCAGTTCAACGCCAGTGTGGGGGATGTGACCTGTAACAATCACACCGTCCGCTACTCCTACGCTGTACCACTGGAGATCATCTGGATGACACCCCTGTACACGTGGAATCCCTACGGTCTCGTTTTTCATACTGATAACAATGTTCCGCCAAAAAACGGGAGGACCGGAGGTACAAACGCCACAACGGCTTTCAACGGGACAAGCAGATCTTACTACTACTACACACCTAACGATTTCTTCAAGAGCAACGAGGTCGGACGGGATCCCGCAGACACAGCAAAGGACGTGGTTGGAGTTCTTGACAAGCACGGGCACGTGAAGATCGTCAAACCGTCAGGCACGCGCATCATGCTTCCAGAAATTGATGGGGTTGGAAAGATTCGAACCCGGTATCCTGTTGCCCCATCTCATCATGAGGGGAGTCCAATGTATAAAGAAGTTGATGCCTTAAAGGAAATGATACTCGACATACCAAAAAATCTGAAATTCTTCGAATCTCCTCCATTCGGGTCACACAACGTTCAGACACACAACCCAGATGATAGCCTTCAGCATTTCACCACAACGTTCACCCATAAGACCCCTCCCGGTCTTCACCAACATGACGTCTACGTTGACGCGCATGACTGGTCGATGCTCCAACGCAACAGTAAGGTCATGGCCATTACCACCAACGACAACGAACACAGCCATACACTGCAGCTACAGCGAGACGCACACAACCATAACCAAATCAACATCATCTCGTGTGACAACGTCCCACACTGCTGGGACGGACACGCAAACGTTCTCCTGCACATGACGGACTAGGTGCCGATGCCACTGAACAGGAATGTCACATAAACCATAAAGGAAAATAAAATAAAATTGCAATTGTACTAGCAATTTATCTTTTTGCTTGGTTTTATTCTAAACATATTTTCAAACTAACACGGCAAAGATTAACATAAGACAAACACACATGATTGCACATTTGAAGTTTTTTTTTATTAGATACAGGATGCAAGAAAACTACGCTGCGTCATACAGCTGTTTCGTCGGCAAAAAAAGTAGAAATCTGGTCTAAAGTACTGTTGAAACTGAAGGGGAGGTGCGTATTCACCCTTAATTATAGAACTTCAAAACTTAGAGGCGTACCGATTCATTTCAAATTCATAACGAGTAAAACGTGTATATCATCATGAACCGTGACACTGCTTTAAAGAGATAACTGGCTATCAAGGTTACTGGAAATATCGGAAATTAAGAAATCCACCAGCAGAGTACGTCTACCAGAGATGAACGCAACACACATGTGATTGCAGTTTATTTTTCAATTTGACACACTAGAACTATGCCCAAAATAGATAAAATGCTTGCGCATAGAGTGGCTCCGTCCTTCTAGGACTCATCGGTGATGCTAGGGACCAAAAAGTTAATTATATGAATGAATATAATTATTGTTTCTGTATCAACTAAGTTAACAACTTTCTATAAACACCAGCAATTCAGGATCCCTGTCCCACGGCACCGTGGTTTTACGTTTATACAGTGGCATCTCCTTAATTTCGTTTTTGACAAACTTGATAGCCCTTCTCTGCAGCGTGTTACATGCCAAATATCGCAATGCTTGGCATGGTAGATATTCAATTGTCTTATAAAAAGATGTTTACATATTTTACACCCCCAACTCTAAGAGTGGGACGAGGTAATTATTTGAAGCAACATATTGTCAATACTTTATCCCAGCATGCGTTTGGCTAAGTACATGTGCATTCAAAAGCCGTTAAAATATTTTATATATTTTACTCCTCTAGCTTTAAATGTTTGTAAAACATGATAGCCATTCATCCCAGTATGCTACAAGCTAAAAGCTGTCACCCTGAATTTTGTTAAAAAAAAAGCCGATTCATGCCGGACATATGGACGGATGCTGCGCCATGCCATAAGCTCACTCGCTCTTAAATAGGATATATGAGCCACAGGTACGAGCCTCGTCTGTAAGCATCCATATGATAATATATAAACAGTGTATACAATGTAAGTATTGACAGACGAGGCTGAGGATGACACCAGACATCTGTCTGTCAACATGTCTAAGTCTGGTGTCAGGGCCAGAGGAAACTCGAGCTAGCTGACAGACGAGGCTGAGGATGACACCAGACATCTGTCTGTCAACATGTCTAAGTCTGGTGTCAGGGCCAGAGGAAACTCGGGCTAGCTGACAGACGAGGCTGAGGATGACACCAGACATCTGTCTGTCAAAATGTCTAAGTCTGGTGTCAGGGCCAGAGGAAACTCGAGCTAGCCTAACAGACGACGGACACCACACCATATCATAAGCTTATAAGGTAAAATGGTGTAGGAGTTGTTCGAACCAGGGATAACCTTATAATACATATATTACTGCCACAATCAAGATTCTTGGAATCAGTTCAGATGATGAAGGTATCCGACCATTAGACGTTCTTACGTATACACTGATCAAATTATGTGCTGAAAAATAAATATGACGACCATATCCATAACAATTTTCATTCAGAGTTGTCGTTCCTTGCACTCGCTTCCATCTAACAAATGAATTCGTAACCGTCGCTTTCTCTCGTTCATTAGCTACAATCGTTATATCCTAACTTCTACAAAAATGTTCAAATCTTCCAACTTAAAATTATGTTATTTTGTCAATAAAACTAAAACCATATCTTAACAATTAAAAATTAAATTCGTTTGTATTCTATCAAAATGTACATGGCATAGATCGAGAGTATGAGAAAGAAGTAGAAACATATCGTTAAATCAATGATAATTATTTCGAAAACAGTGGGCACCACTTCACTCGTTATATAATCACTGCAGACTGCATATATTACGATGATATATAGAAGTAGGGTGATCAAATAGAATGCTACAAATTTGATTTCAAATTTCTATCCTCTCCAACTTTCAGTATTTGCATATTAAGCATCCCTTTAATAGAGTTTTAAGATTAAAATGTTCATGATTACCAGTTATACCAAATTGAGAAATTTGTATTACTAATTGCATTCTAAAGTGTTATAGAGTGGGCTTTCAAATATAAAATGAAATGCATTTTCATTTTCATGTCCACATCTACATTTGTACATGCTGGTGTGTCATTCAGATGATCCATATATAAGTCACTATTTAGGTTGTTAGCATGATTTCTCAGCTGACAAATTGTGATATTGAATTTTCTTGACCCATAGTATTTAAATATGCTAGCAATTTCTTCAGTGTTGTTCATATTATCAGACTTGATGAAATTTTTTAATTGTTGAAGGGAAGTAGCATTTAAAGTTTCAGCAGACAGAAGGTTATATTCTCTACACATTGAGGGAAAATAACTATTGAAATAATTCTCAGTTCTACAGAAAGGAGGATTTATTCCCTGCTTAACGTTCAGCATTAAGAGGAATGGCAACAACTGGTTCATCCGGTGTCATGATAATGTGGCCGGGCGGAATGCTGTGCTTGGTGCCTTCGTCATGGCAGTCAGTGAGATAACACTATAAAGTTGGCATCAGATCCGCGCTATCACAAGGAGGCAAGAACACCAGCATACCATGTCTCCTGCATACAAACACGCAAGCACGCATTTACAACACACACGGAGGCACGTCCTTAAATGACCTTATGTGTTAATAGGACGTTAAACAAAATTAAACCTAACCAAAACAAGCAAACCTTTTAAAAGTTCTTCTGAAGTCATTTTAACACAATTATCAAATACAAAGACATTTCTTTCTGAATTTTCATTCCAGAAAAAAGGGCACATTTTTCTGCGCCATTTGCTTCTTCACCTTACGAAATTATCTTAGAGAAAAATGTGCAGTAAAATCTCCTACAGTACATTAATAATTGTGTTTTTCTATGTTTTTGGAATAGGATTATTATTGTCATCAGAATAATTGAATGAAAATCAGTGGAAATGCAGCATTGAATAAACAGTAGAGTATAAGCATGGATAGGAAGATATCATGTATCCATTATTGGCTATTCGACCGTTCTTCAAAACTTTAAAACAATTTCTCTTGTCTTTGTCTTTGAATGCTCTTTGTCTTTTTAAACTGGATACAAGGTTAATCTCTATGATATGCACTGCGTAATGTAATCATGTATTGTGTATTTACAAACAACACATCACTGTTAAAACTAGTATCAATTCTCGAGTAAGATCGACAAATACTAGTCCAAAAATATTTGTGTAAATCATTTTTTTTTTATTTCCGTTCTTATACTTTACGGTACCATCTGATGATGGCAAATAGGAAGGATTATGCTTACAATTATTTTTGACTTCATACAGCCACCGAAATGAAAACTTCCTCCGATTTCTTGAGGCAATCTAGCAGATCAATAAAAGAATGTTTCTGATATTGCTATTAACAACTGTTGCTTGATCATTTAAAATTCTGAAATATCCATCATACATGATCTCATGTTATTCAAAGCCATTCATTTTGTTGTCCAGTTCTTTTTAAGAAAAGAAACAGATAAGCTATATAGGTCTGCTGACTCTGCTGACTGGCTTCATTGCAATTGCTCCGACTGCCCAGCGTGAAACGTCACCATCACTTTAAAGAATCTGATTTACAAATCAGAATATTTCAATCAAAAAGTGATGTCCCTTCAAGAATGGAATGGGGTAAGTACAACCACAGAATTAGATTATATTGATATTTAAGTCCTTGGTACAACTATATAGTTACAAAAAAATCTATAAACTATGTTTGTTCAGAGTTTTGCATCACCGCAACGGCTAAGTAAAGAAAGATGAAGGAAAAATAGATAGAGTTTCAAAATATCTCAATACGGACGTCAGATCGATTTTGGGTACTTATCCCCATGTGTATGACATCTAGATGAGTGTTGTAATATCGCCAATATTTGACTTGCAAGTATTTTTGAGGTGCTTTGAAAGCAACGAACCAGGACAGATCCATTACGGGAGGGTTCAATATCGGGCCGCGGGTTAGGGAGACGACCGCGCCGGGGTAAGTTCGGCCCCAGTAACTCAGGCCACTCCGGATATCTAAGGTCATGAGTATTTTTTTTATAACTTTGAGGATCTTATACATAAAAGCTTAGCATTGCCTTTCGAAGTTTCGAATTACTATATATATGTTATTCATATTTATTGATATCAATTGGGGGGCAGGTTCAGCCCATGACACCGGAGCGTGCGATACATGGGAAGTCGTGATATATGACGTTTGCATGCGCGAATTATGATGTCATAATTATGTTCCGGATTCCAACGTGGGTCGAACTTACCGAAGGGCGGGCACATTCGGTTATGAATCATCCGACATGAAAAACTCTTCAAAGCGTTGTTCAAATACGAAAATGTGTGTGCTTTTGTTATCATTATATGAAAGCAGGGACGTATAATGGGGCATATACTGTCCCTGATGAAAGGCATGCAATTATTCTTCTAAATGGCGTAAATCCGCCGTAAATGAACACGAGTGATGAGTGATCATGAGTACCGAAGCGAAATCAACCGTGGGTATCCGACGTTGGATGTTTAGATACATACTAATTTTAATAATTATCATGGTGTCCAGAACGCCGGGACGACTTTAATAAAAATGGGCCGAAGTTGCCCCTGTCTATCACATATTGGGACACATATTTTGAAAGAAATCCCAACATGCTGGCAGGGGTCGGGAAGGGATGAGGCCTATAGGGATCCTATATATCTAACACCCCCACCATCGTTACATCCGTTGAAATGTGTGAGGATTGGTTATTTATTACTCTACTGACAGTACAAACAATTTAACTGTTAACTTATATAGAAAGCAAAATTTTCAAGTGTGCCCGCTATTTAGGTCACACTTACCTCATATTAACAAAAGTTAAAACTCCATCTCGGGCCCTTTCAGACTCACCGCTCTGTTTTGGTCCATTCCCGACTTTACGACGTACCACAAAATCAAGCTTCTTTATCACTTAGACGTAAGCTTAAGGTAAACAAGGTCAAAAACGTGGTTTGCGTAGTTTTTGCTGCAGAGTAGGCCTATAGTGAGGCGAAAAAGCAGATATGAATTTTCACAAGATCACTAGAGGCCTATCTGTTTTCATTCCACGATGTAGAGTATTGCTACAGTCAGAGAAAGCATCAAAAATCGCAAGGTAACCCCAGGAATCACCTCGCACCTGATCGGTTGTGTTTCATCTGTTCATACTCGCGTCACCTATTTTCACGAACATACTTTTTCATTCCCATTTCTTTGCGTTGACTGTTGTCCCGATACATTCACAAATAAATAAACAATACATTTAAGAATAAACATGCAATTTAAAAAAAAAACCTGCAATTTATCAAGGAAAATTAAAACCGGAATCATGGCAATGTCACAATACTGTTTTGAGTACTACAATACATTTGTACGTAACCTATTTTCACGAAGTAGCTTAGGCCTCGGTAAAATTGTTATTTCCCGAACTGTTGACGGATGGTACCGATTCAGATCCGTATGTCATTCATTAAAATGTTTATATATCGAATCTTTATGGTGATTGAGTCGAAATTGAATAAAAAAAATCGGAACTAGAAGTTGAGATGAGATTTTAAAAGATGTCCTCTTGAACTTTGTGACTTAAGGCATTAGCCATATATAGCTGTTTCATGATTTACCAATCAGAGCTCATGATAGCCATATTGGTTTTTAACCATTTTGATAACTATTAAAACTTTAAGTTAAAGGAGGTCAGGAAACATTTGTACATGTACTTAAGTTTGAATCAAATTTGCTCTGTAAAACTTCAGGAAAAAAACACCGGTTTAAACATAATGTTGGCCTCTAAAATTGGTACAGAAAAAATGAAGACAACAAATTAAATATAAACTTAATTTATTTTACAACAATTATGAAACAAGTTATTTCAACTTATATAATCACTCTTGTTGGCCCAGATGTTAGGGTGCGGAGGGTCTAAATGTGGGAGGAAACCAGAGAACTTGGAGAAAACCCACACTGTTCACAGGTGATCACCCAATACCTTTTCACATCAGATCGGGTAATCAAACCCCTGATGCCTTAATTGGTGAAAGGCAAGTGTGCTATCCACTGCACCACCAGACCACCCATTAAATTCATTGTGGTGGTATTCTTAATTGATATCTGAAAAACATTTTTTTCAAAAATGTTGAAAAAAAAAGTAAATAAAAAATTTGTGACCTCTGACCCCACAGCAAATTTTTAATTTGACCTTTTCTCTGAAAACATGTCATGAGAAAAAGCTAGCCTGAAGAATATCTACAAATGATATAATTGAATAAATGCTGTACTTTTGACCTATGAAGTCATGGTAGCCATATTGGTTTTTTTTCATTTATTTGAAAATGTTGCTATGACACCTTTAGTCCATGCCAACATGCCAATTATTTTTTACAAAATTAAAAAGCAACAACATCAGAATTGTCACTATCAACACAGAAAATTTTCATTCTAATCATATACTGTGTATCATGTTTAAATGTAACTCGAGTAACAGTAGAGCATACTTTCAAGTTCACAAAAAAATATATGCAAGTTTCTCAAGATTGCGAACATTTAAATGTCATTGAAACAAGGACCAAATGACCATAACATTTGGATTCTTTGCAATGTTTTAGATCAGTTGGGTTTCTACAGACGACTCTTGAACCACATATCCTGCCTGCTGCAAGTTTCTGTGCATCAATTTATAACAGAAAGGTAGGTAGCTTTCTGTACATCAAATGATGAAGTACATTTTAAACTTTTTGAGACAATCAAACTGAACATGTGGCATTGTGCTACATTTCTTTGTCATCATTATCCATCTGACTACCTGTTAATTTTTCCCCTTTTCCTATGAATACTACTACTTACCAAGAAGAGCTAAAAGAATTTTGACTAAATTTGGCATGAGTCAACACTGGGCTAAGGAATAAATTTAAATGTTGTAAATTTATAAAACAATCTACTACCCGTTCCGATTTGGTAAGCTGTGATATCCATAACCAAAATGGACCTGATTACCTGGTCAATGGGCAATCACGTGTAACAATACAATGTACACTCGTACGTACCAGGTAACATTCCTTTCCTGTCATCGGGATACACCTGTACTCGACTCAAATTGGCAGTATTTAGCGAGGTTAAAATAGTGTGATTTTAACCATTTGTTTTGGGAATATGATGGCGGATGGCAGTATGCAGGTTTGGCGTTACACCGGGTGCATTAATGTTAAGGGAAATCCATTCTGAGTAAATTAATGGCGGTATGCAGGTTTGGTGGTTTAATGGGTGGCATTACAACAGGGTTTTACTGTACATGTATATATATTGTTGCCCCGTATGCTCATTAAAAGTGTACTTACCATGTCTGGATGTTATGATGTTTGCCGATGTTGACGAAGATTGTTCAATACTAAGTTATTTTTAGCAGATAAATTAAAAAAAAATTCAAACAGACTTTAAGGTATTATTTAATTTTGTTTAAACTGACTAAATGTTTGCCCCATGTACATGTATAAGAGGCATACTAACGACAAAGCCTTAAGGGCATCGTAAGGTTACAAGTGGCTATACTGCAGGACACTACATATAGTACTAGTGTAATAGTAAAATGCTGAAGTCAAGTATATGCTTAACATTTTTATTTTTATTTAACAGTCAGTGTTTCTAAAATTGGAGAGTGTGCCCTCAAATGCAACTGAAGAAGACATTAGAGGATTTTTTACTGGTAAGACATCATTCAGTCTTTCTCTTTACCAATTGAGCCTATGTCTTCATAATTTTAACTATAAGATGGAGTACATGGGGACGTTGATGTTGTATTTTGTATTAACTAGTTCACCCCTGAAATTTCATAATGAACTAATCCAACCTTTGAATTGAAGGAGTTCAAATGTGTTTTCATGGGTGAATGAATTATAGACTGTTTTAAGCTCACTTGGTTCAAAGGACTGGTGTGCTTATGCTATTGTGCGCTTAGTTGGCTGTCTGTCTGTCATCTGTCGGTCAATTTTTAGGTCACCTGAGACAAAGTCCGTCGTCGTCCGTCGTGCTTCTGTAAACAATTTACATTTTCGACTTCTTCTCAAAAACCCCGAAACCAATTTCAATGAAATTTCACAGAAACCTTCCATGGCCAAAGGTCAACTAAAATTATGAATTATATGGTCCCCAGCCCCCAGGGGCCTGAGGGGCGGGGCCAAAAAGGGTAAAATTGACTAAAATTTCAAAAATCTTCTTCTCAAGACCCAGATATGGTAGAATCAAATACTCTTCATAGATAGAAGAGTCTTAAGGTGCTTTACCAAACTTGTGAATTTTATGACCCTGGGGTCTCACGTTTCCCCCTGGGGAGGGGGTAAACTTTAGTTTACATAGGGAAATCACATTTTAGACTAACATTTATTTAATTGCCATTGGAAGTAATTCAATTTGAGTTAGCATTATCAGTATTGGGTAGCAGTTTGATGGTATGCACATATCAGCCCTGACTGACCTCCTTGGGCTGATGGGTGGGGTCAAAAAGGGTTGAATTGACTGAAATTTCAAAAATCTTCTTCCCAAGATGCAGATATGGTAGAATCAAATACTCTTCATAGATGGAAGGGTCTTAAGGAACTTTACCAAAATTGTGAATTTCATGACCCTGGGGTCTCGCGTTTCCCCCTGGGGAAGGAGGGGGGGGGCAAAATTTGTTATGGTTTATAATGGCAAATGATACTTTGAATATTACATGTTGATAACTTGATTGGAATTATAACCCTAAGTTGACAGTTTGATACTCTGTAAATTTTGAGCCATCCCTCCCCCAAGGGCTGTAGGGTGGGGCCCAATGGAGTCTGTGTGCTAAAACAAAATTTCTTCATTTTCCTTGTTTAGAATCAGAGGTGCTAGTTTCAAATACTTTTCAGTCTTAAATCTGCATGCTAGATATTGAATAAGGTGGTTTTATTTTTTTTTGTCACTTTGAATAATATTTCTGTTCATGTTTATTGTTAAAAACAAAAATCAACTCTCTGTATAAATATATCAGGTAACCGTTAAGGCCCATGGGCCTCTTGTTTAGCTCATCTGGCCAAAAGGGCCATGTGAACATTTGTGATCCGCTTTTAATCCATCATCCTCATATGTTTTCTTTATATCAATTCCTCTCAATAACCACTTGATAGATTTCAATCAAACTTCTTAGAAAGTATTCCTAGGTAATTATTCCTAGGTAATGGGGAATTAGAAATGCAAAGGGTGAAGTGCTGTCCTTCTTTAGGGACCAGAAATGGGCAAAAGAGTGGATACATTTTGAGGAGACAGGCAATAGGATTATTGATGTAGCATCCATAGTTTATGTCCTGCAAAATTTTGTGAAGAAAAACAAAATTTGTCATAGACAGGGCTGCTAGAGGGGGGGGGGGGGTGTTCTGCATCACTTTGTGCCTTAATTTTCTATAACTCAAGTCCTGAACAGCTCAGAGGAGTTTTACAGAATTGGTCTGGAGCATCTTTGGGTAAAAGGGATTCATTTTTGTATAAACAGAGGGTGTGGTGTGGTTCCTCTAGGGGCAGAGGGGTTTGAGCCCAATTAAGGAAATAGAGATAAATGTTGAAAAATCTTCTCCTTCTGTACCAATGAAGGAGTTTCAACCAGATTTGATGCAGTTCATTCTTTGGCAAAGGGGTCCTGTTTTATAAACATTATTTTCTAAAACACCCCTGGAATATGTCATAGCAAAAATGAAGGTTCAGTGTACGCCACCTTGTCGATGAGACGAGAAGACAAGTTTGATCCTTTGATGTACATCAAACAAATCTCTCCCTCAGTAACAGTAAAACTTACTGACTTTGAAGTCTGGCATCGCTCCTCTGTAATCTTCAATGGACAGGTATCAGCCTAGTGATTAGTCAGGTGTTTTTTTTATCTGACACCGATCAAATAGCTAGTTGTGTGCCTTTGATTTTGCTATGACATATTCCAGGGGTGCAAAGAGCAAAATTGAGCGTAACCCCTGGAGTATCAAGGATGAACTCTAGGAGGATGCTCTCCTAACTGAGCTACCTTGATCGCTGTTGATAGGAAAATTCCAGTTCTGCTACTTTCCTCTCACCTGTTTTTTTTAAGTCTTCGTCCCTGAAGACACAACTATACTCATAATTACGCCCCATGTTCGAGTATCCCCCTGGCAAGCATTCACCTAATGCTTGGAGCAAAAAGGGTTTGCAGGCATGCCAATTTTGTAATAGGAGTGAGGAAATGTACAGCCGAACTGGGATTTGAACCTGGGACCCTTCAAAGTCTAGACGGATGCTCTACCAATTGATGAGCTTCCTAATTGTTGACGATCCTCCCAGTCCAGTTCCGCTACATTTATGAATTACCTTGCATTGACTCTTAATGAAAATCACAGGATTTACAATCATCAAAAATTTCAAAAGAACTCTGGTACTAGGTCATCAAGGATAACATGTAGCAGGGATTAAAGGGTGACACATATTTGTCCAATTTCTTTTACATGTACTCAAGGTCAAAAAGGTCAAAATATTATGTATTGAATGCTTAACGGTCCCTGTCCCACTGTATTTTGGTTTTTCCTATAAACAGTAACCGCCCCTCAATTGTCGTGTTGAATATATAAATGAGGACCAGGTAGCTCAGCCTGAGAGAGCGACAGTATAACAATTTCAGATTCAGGGTTTGAATCACGGTCTAGCCCCGTTGAAATTTCACACTTACAGCACTGTTGTTGATTATGTATTTTAAGGGTGTTCATTGCATGTCATTCTACTTGTCAATTTTGCATTGTTTCAGGTATTGATATTGAAGAAGTATTATTTCAGTTTTACGATCATGGTGGGACTAAAATGGTTTTCGTAAAAGTACCAGAAAACAATGTTCCAGAATTCGAAGCTCTAGCAAAAGATAAAGCATTTTGGGGGGAACAAACTATAAGTGGTAAGTATACATTCAAAGGACTATAATTAGAAATAATAATACATATCAATTTGTTTAATGTTAGGGAACTTAATTATAAAGGTCAAGAAGGAAGGTTGCAGAGGTTAAAGGTCAAATATAACTTTGATGAAATTTTTTTTTGTTGCGATTGTCTTTTATCCGTCATGTATAAATAATCACATTTTACGACTTCTCCTCATAAACTGTCGGTCAGATTTTGATGAAACTTAGTAGTAATAATCAGTCGGAAGTGCAAATCAGAATCAATACTCAAGATGGGACTACACCCCCTCCCCCCAGGGGGCTGAGGGGTGGGGTCATAAGGGGTCACAGAGTACAAAACCTTCATTAGACTTCTTCTGTGAAACTTATACATAGCTTTTCACTATCTTTTCATAGAATAATGCTTTGATGATGAGGATCAGAATTAACAATCAAGGAGGGTCTGACCCCCTGATGGGGGCTCATAGGGACTCCCTTAGGGGAACTCATAGGGGTCACTTAGTGCAAAATTTGAAACCAGCATTTGTGTAGCTCACCTGGTCCGAAGGACCGGTGAGCTTCTATAAAGGCGCGTCGTCTGTCAACTTTACACTACCAGTCATGAACCACTGAGCGGATTTTAACAATATTTGGTGTGGAGCATCCTTTGGTGAAGAAGAACCAATTTTGTATAAATGGTGGGTCTGGCCCCCCAGGTACTCCAACAATGTTAGAGGTTTTACACGGCAAAAAACTTTTGACAGGCGCCGCGTCGCAGTCGGCAAAATCATATCCGATTGAAAAAAGGCCGACCAGCGGCCTCTCATGTTATGGGAGTAGCCCCCCAGGGGTCTGAGTGGCGGGGCCTAATAGGGGAAATATAGCAAATTCTTCTTTAAAATCCTTCTTCTTTTGTAGGAATGAAAGGATTTGGTCCATATTTGGTATGAAGCATCCTTTGGTGAAGAGAAACCAATTTTGTATAAACGGTGGGTCTTGCCCCCCAGGGGCGTGAGGGGCAGGGCCAAATAGGGGAAATATAGCAAATTATTCTTTGAAATCCTTCTTTTGTAGGAATGAAAGGATTTGATCCATATGTGGTGTGAAGCATTCTTGGGTGAAGGGGAACCAATTTCGCATAAACGGTGGGTCTGGGCCCCCAGAGGCCTGAGGTGTGGGGCCAAATAGGGGAAATATAGCAAATTCTTTAAAATCCTTCTTTTTCTGTAGGAATGAAAGGATTTGGTCCATATTTGGTGTGGAGCATCCTTGGGTGAAGGGGAACCAACTTTGTATAAATGATGGGTCTTGCCCCCCAGGGGCCTGAGGGGCAGGGCCAGGGCCCAATAGGGAAAAATAGCAAATTCTTTAAAATCCTTCTTCGGTGTGAAGCATCCTTATATGAAGAGGAACCAATTTTGCATCAACGATGTGTCTGACCGCTTGGGGGCAGAGGATGGGGCCCAATAGGCGAAACATAGCAATTTCTTCAAAATCCTCCTTTTCCTGTAGAATGACAGGATTTTGTCAAATTGCATATAAGTATAACCCCTGACTAACCATGTAATACATGTACAATACCAGCAACATCTAGCTATTCCAAAGGTCCAAAGGTGCTTTATCAAAATTGTGAATTTTGTTTCCTTCAGGTTCCATTTTCTCCCTTCTTTCTCCGTGTTTGGTTTATATTTTGTTCAAACTTAGCTGTTATTCTTATCCTTTGACTGCAGTTGATGTATTCCCCCTTTAGTAGGTAAAATTGACTTCATTGCAAGATTATTTTATCATTTTAATGTTGGTTTTTTTTTTTGGCTTTATATAAATATCTGTTACTCTCCAACACCATCTTGTAGAATCCAATCTACAATCAGAAAGAAGTTTTAAGTGAAATGTACTTCCTTTTTTTTCATATCACACAACCACAAGTAACAATTTTATTTTAAGTAAGATGACCAAGGAATTAAAACCAAAGAATTTGTCCATATTGTCAGCCTGGTAAAATACTTGCCGCTACCTACTGACAGGGCTAGGGAGAATTTCTCTAGCTCATTCCGTAGAGCGTAAATGTATTAACTATATTCACGGTATACCGTCATGTATGTAGTGCAGGTAGTACAGGTGTACTAGTGTCCGGATTTGAGGCCAAGGTGACACAGGTAGCCGCGTGAGGCGGGACGGGTAACGTGTAACTGCACGTGTTGCAGGTGCGACACAGGTGTCTATCGAGTTATAAAGGTAGTTTGAGGATAACATAGTCATTCGAGTCTTCACGGTTTATCTATGCACTAAAAGAAATTATATCATAGATAATGAGCGAGAGCGACGTCCCAGCCGTTGACGGTAATGAATTCGAAGCTAACGAAGCTGTAGGCGGCGATACACACGATACAGTTAAAGAAACTTTTGATTTATTCAAGAATTACCTCAGTACACAGTTGGTGAATTTCAAACGCGATATTAATCAGGCTAATGAGATATCGTCAGAGAAAGCTACAAAAAAGCTTAAAGAAGATTCTACAGTGAAATTTAAGAAAGCCGGGAACAAAGTTCAATTTGAATTCAACAAAGGAATTCGAAAATGGTTGACCGTCGAAGGCCACTCCCATACATAGGTGTTGAGATTTATATGATAAATGCTTTTTGTTCGGTTGAACATAGGTAATTAGAATCATAACACTTATAAACCATAGGTCTCCAGTTCCACTTCTAGCAGAGGCATTAAAAAAATAACGACCTCTGTTACATTGGTGCCCACTTAGGAACCCAGGAAATATTGACAAAGTACTTAGCGATACTTGCAAAGGAATCGCTATGAACCCTGGAAAACTCGGGATGAGCTCTTTCCTTGAGGGGGAGCATGTCATCCTGGTAAAATACAAGCTGCTTCCTACCGGCTCAGCTAAGGAGAATTTCTCTTTAGCTCATTGGGTAGAGTGTAAGACTAGTAACCCAGAGGTCCCAGGTTCGACTCCTAGTGGAGGCATTAAAAAAATAAATATACATCTGTTAAAATATCAATTACTAAAAATATAGTGGTTTATTATTTATATATTTTCAATCATAATTTATTTTTTATAATCTTTTTCAGTGGAGAAAGAACTAAATGATGATAACAGACAAATGATTGATGAACTCCAAAGGTAAATGTTAACATTAAAAACAAATATATCAGTATTTCTCCTTTGGCATTTTTAAAGGAAATGAGACCTGTATTATCAAAATAAGCTGGTATATGATGCATGTTAGTATGATGACATGTGTGGGTGAGGTTACTATAGTAAAGTATGTTGGGTCAGTGCTTTCCTCTATAATCGGGACCAAAACGAAACACCACAATTATTCAAATCCAGGAACTTATTCCTCAATTCATAAAATAGAAATCACCAAATATGAATCAGCAAAAAAGAAATTCGTAGAAAATTTGCTTTTTATTAGAACAATTTTTTTTCCTCATTTCTTAACTCATTCACCCCTGAAATTTCATAATGAACTATTCCAACCATTGAATTGGACGAGTTCAAATGTGTCTTCAGGGGTGAATGAAGTTAACTAAGGTTTACAGTTGAACTTTATAGGCTCCTTTACCTTGGAAAGCCTATACACTATATCAATGGTGGTATTCAGAAATTAAGGGCCATGAAAAACTTGACAGGGGAATTACCTCTAAGCCAGAACAAATTGTAGCTACAAATATGACTTTCAACCCCATAATTAAAGGACCAGATTGCAAAGAATAATTGTTTGCTTTGTACTGTACTAGTGAAAATGAAGGTCAGTAAGCATAATCTCATATTTGACGTTCCATTTCTGTTGCAGAGAAAAAGAATTACAGGAAGCTCAAATATGTCCCAGTCAGGTAATCATATATTGTATCAATGGGTTGTTTAGCTGCAGGAACTGTCTGATCAATTTGTACTTTAAAAAAAATCGATTACGGATTATTTGATCAATTTCATTTTTTTTGACATATGGTCTAATAATCGAAAATTAAGGACATATCTAAAATTTAAAAAATAAAATAAAATTCATCCGAGTTGAGCCATGGTTCCAGCAGCTATGAATTGTGTGATCTTTTTCTCTTCAAATTTTATTCAAAAATTTTGCTTTTAGTTTAATCGGAAATCGCTCCTTTCAAAATTATTCACAGTGGTTATCTTGTATTGTCAGTAAAATTGTACTCGCCATACTTGACTGTTTGCTATGGTTTTTTTAGCTCACCTGCCCGAAGGGAAAGTGAGCTTATGTCATGGAGCGTCGTCCGTCGTCCGTCCGTCCTCGTCCGTCAACTTTTCCTTTAAACAACTTCTTCTTAAGAACGGACAGGCCTAGAGTTATGATATTTGGCTGAAAGCTTTGTTGATCAAAGCCCTACACATTTTGAGAACGAAAATGACCTTGACCTACTTTCAAGGTCACAGGGGTCAAATATGTCAAAAACTTCAAACGACTTCTTCTGAAGAATTAAAATGTATAGAATCTTTATATTTGGCTGATGGCTTCCAGGGATGGAGCTTAACAAAGTTTGAGAATGAAAATGACCTTGACCTACTTTCAAGGTCATAAGGGTAAAATGTGTCAAACACTTCAAACAACTTCTTCTGAAGAACTGAAAGGTATAGAATCTGTATATTTGGCTGGTGGCTTCTTGGGATAGAGCCCAACAAAGTTTGAGAATAAAAATTAATTTGACGTACTTTCAAGGTCACAGGGGTCAAATATTCAAAAACTTCAAACGACTTCTTCTGAAGAACTGAAAGGTATAGAATCTTTATATTTGGCTGGTGGCTTCCTGGGATAGAGCCCAACAAAGTTTGAGAATGAAAACTAGTTTGACCTACTTTCAAGGTCACAGGGGTCANAATCTTTATATTTGATTGATGGCTTCCTAGGATAGAGCCCGACAAAGTTTGAGGATGAAAATGACCTTGACCTTCTTTTAAGGTCACATGAGGCAGATATGTCTAACGCTTAGAACAACTTCTTCTGAAGAACTGAAAGGTATATTCTCAAGAACCAGTGGATGGAATTTTTTCAAACTTGGTCAGAACCATCATTGGTAGATGGGGCTATAAAATTGTAAAATTGGGATTCCTACTCCAACCCCTGGGGCCAGGACGCCCCAAAGGGAAAATTAACCAATATTTCAAAAATCTTCTTCTCCAGGCTCAGAGGTGCTACAGTCATTTTCTCTGCATGGAAAGAAAGATCATCAGGGGCTTAACTTAAATTGTAAATTTCAGGACCCCCAAGCTATTCGTTCTCCCTTGGGGAGGGGGTAAAGTTTACTATAGTTTATATAGGGAAATAACACTTTTGGGTATATTTTGACAACATTCTGTAGGAAATTATTTTTACTTGGTGAGAATTATCTTTGGAGGAAGATGTTTTCAAATTGTAAAATTGAGATTCCAGGGCGTGGCCCCAAAGGGAAAATTAACCAACATTTCAAAAATCTTCTTCTCCAGGCTCAGAGGTGCTACAGTCATTTTCTCTGCATGGAAAGAAAGATCATCAGGGGCTTCACTGAAATTGTAAATTTCAGAACCTCCCAGCTATTCGTTTTCCCTTGGGGAGGGGGTAAAGTTTACTATAGTTTATATAGGGAAATAACACTTTCTGTAGGAAATAATTTTCATTTGGTGAGAATTATCCTTGGAGGAAGATGGCTTCAAATTGTAAAATTGAAATTCCTATCCCAACCCTAGGGGCCAGGGCGGGGCCCCAAAGGGAAAATTAACCAATATTTCAAAAAAAATGTTTATATAGGGAAATAACACTTTTGGGTATATTTTATCCATTTTCAGCAGAAAATTACTCAAACTTGGTCAGAATCATCTTTGGTGAATGAGAGTTTTACTTTGTAAAATTGGGATTCCTGCCCCATCCCCAGTGGCTAGAGCGGGCCCCAAAGGGAACATTTACCAATATTTTCAAATTCTTATCCTTTGATGACATGACAAGTATTGTATTTCACTAAGTTTACATGCTGATTTCCACATCACATCTAAACAATAAAATAAAGCTACCAGTACCTATGATATAACTCCATACAATATAAGTGACCGCTAAGGCCCTTGAACCTCTTGTTTATTTCCATTTTCAGTTTTTGTACTTCAAGATAGAACCTGTGGACTTGACAACAACCGAAGAAGATGTTAGAAAATTCTTCGCTGGTAAGACGGCAGTACAATGTAGTTTTTCTCTTAACTTTATCATTATTTAATTTTTAATATATAATCATAAGTGGATTGTGGGCAGATTGGTCGAGTGGTTAACACTCCGGCCTTCCACGCAGGCGTTGATGTTATGTTTTCTGTACTGTAGAATTCAAGTGACACCCCGGTGGCACTATAAATGATGCCGTTGGAAGCACGGTCCCACTACAAACAGAACACAATACATCTCAAGCACACACGCAGGCATACACACATAGGGAGATATTACACTTCTGTTACATTTGACATTTAAATAAGAATGTGAGATTGTCAATAACGGTTTGCATCAATCTCAAATATCAGTTTTCAGGGTTGAGTTTTTTTGGGTCTTTTTTGGATAACATGAACAACATTGCTTTACGACGGTAAAGTCAATATTCTCCTTCACTTTTGACAACCACGTTTATTATTTTGTTTACCAACGTTCATTGTAATGATGTTTTGTCCTAAAATTATTCAAGTAAAGGACTTTGACCAATATTCAAACTTTTGCCCTACGACAGTAAAATCTATTTTCTCCATCTGTTTTGAAAACTATGTTTAGTATTTTGTTTATTAATGTTTATTGTAAATGATGGATTTGTCCTTCTTGTGAAAGGCAAAAAAGACGATAGTTAATTTACGGTGAAAGTTTCCCAAGATACAATATATCATCTGTTAAATGCTTCAAACTTCTTCGAGTCTCTAGATCTATGAACGTATCTTTCAGGGTCTAATTGCAAGTCATTCTCTTTTCTTTTTTTTTGCCTTATTATAGGTGTTGACATAAAAGAAGTGTTATTGGAGCTGGACAATGTGTACTTTGGGAGGGTATATATAAAAGCATCAGATGCAAGTGCTGCGACAGTTCTGGCATACGACGGTGAATTTATTGGAGATCGTTGCGTGACCGGTAAGTACATATACTACAGGACTTCAAAGAAATAGTGATTGTTTATTGTAAAGGAATTAATTCTTAAAAACCAAGTAAAAGTTGCCGAGGTTGAAGAGGTTGCAGAACTTCAACAAATCACCCCTGCATCGCTATTCAGTAAAAATATAATTTCCTTCTCCCACTGCACCATTGTCACCTGGAATTCCATACCTACAGACACTGCCCAATTACCCGATTTTTAGCCCACCATCATCTGATGGTGGGCTTTTCAAATCGCCCTGCGCCCGTGGTCCTTTGTCCATCCGTCTGTCATCCATCCCTCATCCGTCCTTAAACAATTCTTGTTATCGATATTTCCTAAAGAAGTACCATAGGGATATATCTCAAATTTGATATGTAGGTTCCCCTTGGTCCCTAATTGTGTTTATTAGCAGGTTCCCCTTGTTCCCTCCTTGTGCAGTTTTACTTTGGAGACTGATCAGATAAACAAAATAGCCAGCAGGCAGCCATCTTGGATTTTGACAGTAGGTTTGTCATCGGTATTTCTCAATAAGTACTGGAGAGATCTTTCTGAAATTTTACATGTAGGGTCCCTTTGGTCTGTATGATCAGATAAACAAAATGTCCGACAGGCAGCCATCTTGAATTTTGACAGTGAATGTTTGTAATAGCTATTTCTTAGGAAGCACTGGAGGGATCTTTCTCAAATTTTATATAAGTTCCCCTTGGTCCCTACTTGGGCATCATCACTTTTGAGACTGATCAGATAAACAAAATGGCCAACAGGCAACCATCTTGAATTTTGACAGTGAATGTTTGTAATAGCTATTTCTTAGGAAGCACTGGAGGGATCTTTCTCAAATTTTATATAAGTTCCCCTTGGTCCCTACTTGGGCATCATCACTTTTGAGACTGATCAGATAAACAAAATGGCCAACAGGCAACCATCTTGAATTTTGACAGTGAATGTTTGTAATAGCTATTTCTTAGGAAGCACTGGAGGGATCTTTCTCAAATTTTATATAAGTTCCCCTTGGTCCCTACTTGGGCATCATCACTTTTGAGACTGATCAGATAAACAAAATGGCCAACAGGCAACCATCTTGAATTTTGACAGTGAATGTTTGTAATAGCTATTTCTTAGGAAGCACTGGAGGGATCTTTCTCAAATTTTATATAAGTTCCCCTTGGTCCCTACTTGGGCATCATCACTTTTGAGACTGATCAGATAAACAAAATGGCCAACAGGCAACCATCTTGAATTTTGACAGTGAATGTTTGTAATAGCTATTTCTTAGGAAGCACTGGAGGGATCTTTCTCAAATTTTATATAAGTTCCCCTTGGTCCCTACTTGGGCATCATCACTTTTGAGACTGATCAGATAAACAAAATGGCCAACAGGCAACCATCTTGAATTTTGACAGTGAATGTTTGTAATAGCTATTTCTTAGGAAGCACTGGAGGGATCTTTCTCAAATTTTATATAAGTTCCCCTTGGTCCCTACTTGGGCATCATCACTTTTGAGACTGATCAGATAAACAAAATGGCCAACAGGCAACCATCTTGAATTTTGACAGTGAATGTTTGTAATAGCTATTTCTCAATAAGGACTGGAGAGATCTATCTCAAATTTGACATGTAGGTTCCCCTTGGTCTGTAGTTGTGCAGTCTCTTATGAGACTGATCGGATAAACAAATCTTGGATTTTGAAAGTTAAGGTTTGTTTGTGCTATTTCCCAGAAAGTACTGGAGGGTTCTTTCTCAAATTCTATATGCAAGTTCCGCGTTGTCTTTTTTTGTTTATGTCTACTTTTGAGACTGATCATGAGACTGATCAGATAAACAAAATGGCCGACAGGCAGCCATCTACGATTTTGACAGTGAGGGTTTGTTATCGCTATTTCTCAGATATAACTTGAGGGATCTTTCTCATGTTTGATATGTAGGTTCCCATTGGTCCCTTGTTAGGGCCCCGTATCGGAGATACGGGTGCCCTATAGTAATCACTCTGTCTGTCTGTCTGTCTGTCTGTCTGTCTGTCTGTCTGTCTGTCTGTCTGTGTCTGTCCGTCCGTCTGTCTGTCCACAAATTTTGTTCCTGGCTGATAACTTTGGTATTAATTGACCGATGTACATGAAACTTGGTCAAGATGTTCAGTTCATAAAAATACACATTGAGGTAAAAAGTCAAGGTCAAAGGTCAAGGTCATGAGATTCAAAGGTCAAGGTCAAATTTTACATATTTTCACTGATGAACATTTTGTTATGACATGATGAAGCAAAGTTGATCAGAATTAAACAACGAGTTAACTGAACAAATGTCAAGGTCATTGGGTCAAAGGTCAAGGTTAAATTTTGTATCTTTTCACTGTTGAACATTTCGCTATGACACTTTGAAGCAATGTTGCTCAGAATTAGACAAGGAGTCAATTGACCAAAGGTCAAGGTCACTTGGTCAAAGGTCAAGGTTAAATTTTGTAACTTTTCCCTGATGAACATTTTGTTATGACATTATGAAGCAATGTTGTTCAGAACTTAACACAGAGTCAACTGACCTTAGTAACAGGTAACTGGGTCCAAAGGGTCAAGGTCAAGTTTTGTATTTTTCACTGATGAACATTTTGTTATGATATTAAGAAGCAAAGTTTGTTGGAATTAAAGAATAAGTCAACTGACCAAAGATCAGGGTCACTGGGTTGATGGTCAAGGTCATTTGGGTCCAAAGGTCAAAGACAAAGTGGATCTCCGACTTTGAACCTGGCTCTTGTTGGAGGAGGTATATAAGGTGAAACAAAACAAATCAAAGCTAACAAATGAGTATTGCACCGGTAATTACATTTCTGTTAGCCGAGCAAATATGGAGGTGGAAGGAAACACATCACATCATAGTATATGTAAAATGTATATTTTGCTTCCTTGCGATTCTTTTTGAAGTCCAAATGTCAAACGTCAAGCTCAGCTATATGGGCAGATTGCTTCTTGATGATTATGGGGGATATAATTGCCACAAGACGGGGCCCTTACTGACCTGTCAGTGTTCTAGTTGAACATGTTATATTTTGAGACTGATCATAAAGGCGTAAAGGCCAATGGAAGAACTAAACAGATCTTTCTAATATTGCAATGATCGGTTCTATTTCTTTCACATTAAGTACTGTACTAGTTAATATGTGAAATGACAAACTCACTTTGAAGTTTGTCTTTTATACACAGCATTGTTACTAGATCAGAAGTTACCTCAAGGTGCATTTACTGTTAACATGACTCGATCAAACAGTAAAGTTACCTCAAGGTGCATTTAATGTTAACAAGACTCGATCAAACAGAGGAGTTACCTCAAGGTGCATTTACGGTTAACATGACTCGATCAAACAGAGAAGTTACCTCAAGGTGCATTTAATGTTAACAAGACTCGATCAAACAGATTAGAGAGAAGAAGAGAAAAGATTGAACTGACAAAGAACTAATGATGATGGTACAAGTAATGGTTACCTCAAGGTGCATTTACTGTAAACATGACTCGATCAAACAGTAAAGTTACCTCAAGGTGCATTTGCTGTTAACATGACTCGATCAAACAGTAAAGTTACCTCAAGGTGCATTAACTGTTAACATGACTCGATCAAACAGTAAAGTTACCTCAAGGTGCATTAACTGTTAACATGACTCGATCAAACAGTAAAGTTACCTCAAGGTGCATTTAATGTTAACAAGACTCGATCAAACAGAGGAGTTACCTCAAGGTGCATTTACGGTTAACATGACTCGATCAAACAGTAAAGTTACCTCAAGGTGCATTTAATGTTAACAAGACTCGATCAAACAGATTAGAGAAAAGAAGAGAAAAGATTGAACTGACAAAGAACTAATGATGATGGTACAAGTAATGGTGGGTGCCAAGATCCCTCTGGGATCTCTTGTAATGCATTGAAGTCGGCAATTGCAGGCTTTCTATTAAATTTTTAGCATTTAATATAAGTAGTTTTATCGTATAATCTAAAGTTAAAAAAAGAATAAAGATAATAAATTTCCTCTTTTCATTTGTGACCTCTTTTTCGAACTCACCCAGCAACAAATGCACTGTATATTTTGAGTAGTGTTGTTCGTAAAGGAAGAAGAGGTCAAATGTCACTGACTTGGATTAAGCATTGTCTTTTCTTAACTTCATGATGAATTCATAGAAAAGGAATTACATTTTGAAATGAACAACTTGTGTACATCTGTCTTCTGGAGACACAGTAGTCTAGTGGTAAAACACCGGGCTGGTGACCGAAGGGTTGTGGGTACGAGTCACATCACGGCACTGTGTTTTATTCTTAAACAAGATACTTTACTCTGCTTGTTCCAGTCTACTCAGCTGTAAATGAGCACATGGTTGGGCAATGCTAGAACTGTTGAATGCTAGTTGTGAGCGCCTAAATGGCAGTTCTGGCTGTATGCTCCTCAGGGAGTTGAGAAAAATATTGACAGGTTGCAAAGGTCCAATAACCTCGGATGATAATTTGTGAATGGTTCGAGACGACCTAGATTGTGATGAAGCTGTATATAAAAACTAAACATTATTATTATTATTATCATTCTTGTCTGAAACTGCTTTATCAGTTACCCACATCTCGTCTGAAACTGCCTTATCAGTTACCCCCCTCCCGTCTGAAACTGCCCCATCAGTTACCCACCTCTCGGCTGAAACTGCCTTATTAATTGCCCACATCTTGCCTGAAACTGCCTTATCAATTTCCCACATCTTGTCTGCAACTTCCTTATCAGTTACCCACACCTTGTCTGCAACTGCCTTATGAGTTACCAACATCTTGTCGGAAACTGCCCTATTAGTTACCCACATCTTGTCTGCAACTGCCTTATCAGTTACCCACATCTCGTCTGCAACTGCCTTATCAGTTACCAACATCTTGTCTGCAACTGCCCTATCAGTTACCAACATCTTGTCTGAAACTGCCTTATCAGTTACCCACATCTTGTCTGAAACTGCCCTATCAGTTACCCACATCTCGTCTGAAACTGCCTTATCAATTGCCCACATCTTGTCTGAAACTGCCTTATCAGTTACCAACATCTTGTCTGAAACTGCCCTATCAGTTACCCACATCTCATCTGAAACTGCTTTATCAGTTACCAACATCTTGTCTGAAACTGCCTTATCAGTTACCAACATCTTGTCTGAAACTGCCCTATCAGTTACCAACATCTTGTCTGCAACTGCCTTATCAGTTACCCACATCTTGTCTGAAACTGCCTTATCAGTTACCAACATCATTGCTTCACAGTTACCTTCATCATGCCAAAATTGACGATGTCATTATCAGCTTATTAACCCACGTCATCACGGCATTAAGCTTGGTAAAGTGTTTGGTCCAATATGAGGCTATATATGTCATTGATTTCTCTGACAATCAACGTGTTTAAACAGTATTGAATTATAGAAAATGCAATTTATATTTACTGATTATAATCAGCTTTCAATATGTTTAATTTTTAATCCCTTTTATTTTTCAGTGAAGATAAATCATAAGAATCAAGTTTATGACATTGCTGCACTTCATGCGTATGTAAAAATTTATTCAATGATTTTATGTGTGTATTTTCAAGAAATAAGACCTTTGTATATGTGTCAAATTGATAAGGCTTTCAATTAATAAGAATACAATATTTCTCGCATCTCACACAAAGATATCTCACATCATATCCTAGGTCATGCTAGATTTTTCTATCTCGTCTGGTTCCTTTATGTGAACAACATAATGCGCACTAGCGCATTATGATTTGTTTGCTTGCAAAGCTGTGTCATTCAAATAGATCATAAATACCATTTATATTTAAAATTATAAAATGCCCGCCTTATCGACAGTCCTCACAATTTCGTTCAATAGTTTGAACAGCGTATTGTCGCGTGCTAATTGGCAAACAAAGTAGTACTTTAAAATTTTAACAAACACTTCAATTTTATTTCACAATTCAGTATCAATACAATTTCGTATGATATGTCTATAGGGTGATTTAGGTTTATCAATAGAACTCTGAGCTGAGAGGTAGATTTGAAATTGTTTCGATTTTTCCCCGGAACAAATTTCGCGCATGGACAAATACAGTGAACACTGTAAATCCGACCTTGCCCTCCACGAGGGAGTTATTTTTTGGAAGTTAATTCAAACTTTTCTCTTTGCTCATTTTGTGAAGAATCCAGGCGTGAATGTGTTTGTTGATTGTATGGGAACCTGACAACAGTCGGTAGTCCCATAACAGCCTCGTTATTTGACATGTCGTCAGAAACTGAGGAACCGTGGATGAGAGACGCGTGAAACTGATAGCGTTTTAAGTGAGTGATCTTGCGACGGAGCACAGGTTCGTTACAAATGTCTGAAATGTTTATGTGTGCTGCGACTCATATCAGTAGGTCTGTAACATATGTGTCAGTAGGTCTATAGAATATGTGTATTTCAGACATTTATAACGAACCCCTGTTGATCAGTGCAGTGTAACAGACGATATTTCTGATAAATTACATGAGCGTTTGTGCATTTTGTACGATATTGCAGACCTTGGTCTTGTTTTCGTTGTAATAAAAGTGTTTTTTATTTTATTTTTTATTTTGTACATAAATTTACAATGACATTGTCAAATCTCACAATGCCCAAAGGCTGGCAGCGATATTTCAGCAGCCGTCATGTTTATTTATATTGGATATTGTATTTCCGGTCAATGTTGTAAAGAGGCTATATAGTGACAATGCCTGCAAATGTAAATATATCATTTTACAGAAAACATGGTGAAAATATCAACACCTTCCCTTAATCTTCATTTATAGGTCCACAAAGTTATAACAAGTTTGATATAAAGTGATTCCCCATTTGAGCGGGTAATCGTAATCCACGAGTTCATATACCCACAAAATGGTGTCCTGTCGGAAAACCACAAAAGAGCTGTTAGAAAACATCTGATTTCACAGTACATTGTATATTCAGCATTTGTAGCAACAAGAATGACCTTCGATCACACCCGACCAGGTTTTACAGACTTTTGTCTTATCTTGTACTACTGAAGTTGAAAAGATAGGTGACAGGTCAATTTGTAGTTTTCATGTTTGACACTCTTTATATTTCTTTTGTAGAAGAAAACGGAGAAAGGAAATTCTGACAGGAGAAGGAGAGGTAAAACAGAGAAATCATTGTAACAATGGATTTGTTTGATTTTCACAAGTGCCATTTTCTTTTTGTCTGCAACTTTGGGATACTTTTCCTCTTGGTTTTATTAAAAAAAAAATGCCTTTGATTAATCATTTCTGAAAGGAAAACGATACCATGTGAGATGTTCGTGTAAAAATAATAAAGATGAATAAGCAAAATATAATCAACAACACTGTTCTGTGAGTAAACCCTTGACCTTAGTCTGTTAAACTGTCACCTTTACCAATTGAGGTGCCTGGTCTTTGGTTGTACCCTGGCTAAATTCACTAATTGTGCTACACCTAGGCCCCTTTCGCGTATCCGGTTCTAGGTTCAACCAGTTGAAACGGTTGAACCTTGATAGAAAACTACAGGCACAGATCTGATCCCTTGCAAAGCGTTCACTCAATGCTTGAAACAAAGGTTGGTCAAAGGTACCAATGTAACAGGAGAGAAACAATGCACGGCCAGACCGGGGTTCGAACCAGCGACCTTCCGAACTCTAGACGTGCGCTCTACTGATTGAGCTACCTGGTCACCGACGGTCGACTCAGTCCAGTTCCGCTACAATACGAAACAACAGAGTGTAGTACTTGTGTTTTGATTGCAGTTGGACGGGGATCGTTAAAACTTTTTGTGCCCTGTTGGTGTATAAATGCATACGGAAGTGGAAATACTTTGAATTTTGTTTCAGTTGATCAAATACGTAAATAATATAATTTGTTTGTAATTCACGTAACAGGAGTCATGAATGGTGATGAAACTCCCTGGTGAAATGGGATTTGAAATTATTTAATATCATCCTAACATTTTTTTATTTTTTTTTCAAGAACGATATGACATACATCGCTCTGGGAAGAATTCCAAAAAGTACCAAACTTTCTGAAGTTGAGGACTTCATAGGCAAGTTTTTCATACCTATTCATACGGTGGGTACTTAATAAATGGGTTATGCAATACTGGGAAAGTGGAAGTTCTGGCGTGAGGTGAGGAAAAGCGCTATGACCATTTAAACAGATGGCAGTTTGGAAATGTTTATACTGACAATAGTTTAGATATCTTTACATAGCTGTATTTTACATATCTATAATTTATAATTACGTATTAGTGCTTGGATATATGGAATTATATGCGAAAAATCTGAGTGTTTCCATACACAAACAATTCCCACCTTTATAATATGTGTCCGACTAGTTACACATTTTGAGATTAATAAAATCTTTCAACACTTTGGTGTGATTTGGAGATATTCTGACTCGAAGGAGAAAGTTCTGAGTTGCCAAACACAAGGCTTACCATGTGTTCGGCCAACTTAAGAATCTCCCAAAGGTTTCATTGCACCCAAAGAAAGGAATAGATTTAAAAAAGAAATATTATTATAATTACATTATACAGCAAGTACTGGTACATTCAAATATAGGCTTTCCAATTGATAATACAGAAAATAGAATTGCTAGGAATTGTTTTATCAAAGTTTTACTTTATACACAAACAATGTACGAGTCGCAACATTTCAAAACTGATTGGTCCCTTTGTCTAACTATGACTGAGTGAGCGGTTTGTATTGTCTACCTGTACAACGGGGTGACGAAATTGTTTTTTGTATACATCACTCAACCCAGGTGCTTTTGTCTATTGATAGAGAGTGTATACGCACGGTGTCGAAACGTCCCACGCTGAGTAATGTATGAAATATACAATTTTGACACCTCGTTGTACAGGTAAATAATTGTTCACTCAGTCATAGCCCGAAAGAGGGACCAGTCGGTCTTGAAACATTGCGACACGTTTAATACATACATTGTTTGTGTATGAAGTGAAACTTTGATATGACATATTTCCAAACTGATGATTCTTAATGAATTTGCTGGGTATTGTTTTGGTTAATTATTCAATTAATGTAAATAAATATTCCTCACAGTTTTTTTAGGTATCTGTTGTTCTTTTTAGATGCAAGTTAAGAAGAACATTTTTTCTATAACTTTTGTCTTGGCAGGAGTGTTTGTGGTCTGTTTGTACTAACACATTACAGGAAGTTTTAATTTTCACTCAAACATTTACTAGGCATTTAACATTTCGTAATATAAATGTACTTATTTTCAATGTAGCAGTAAATTTGCCCTCATTATAAAGGGCGAAAAGTGTTAATTTCGCCATTACTATATATTTTATGTTGTGTAATAATGTTCACTGGCTTGGTAATTAACTTGTTCACCCCTTAAATTTCATAATGGACTATTCCAACTGTGGAAAAGGAAGAGTTCAAATGTGTTTTCAGGGGTGAATGAGTTAAATTTACCCTGATTCGTAGGTAAAAAAACGGTGATAGTTAAACTGGGTCGAAAATTTCCTGGTATGGGGCGAAAAATGTCCTGGTATAAAGTCGTTGGAACAAATCTTAGCAGGGATTTGACCAAACCTGTTTTACTTATGTGTAAATGTTTATGAGCGTACTGGTTTTACATTAACAGGTGTGCCTACATATGAAGTGGTAGTAGGCCTGAGAGGTCACCGCCTCGTCAACATAAGGCTTACTTATTGCTTGATTCACAAGGAACATTTAGATGAAGCTTTGAAAAAACACAAGGAATGTATTGGTGATCGATACATCACAGGTGAGCTAGTGTTATGTTGACGTTATAGTTGTTAATTTTCGCAGGGTTAACATTTCATGATTTCGAGCCGGGCACTTATATGCAGGGGGTTTAACTTTTTTGACATAGCAGCCTCTATTCAACTGATATCACAGACGTATGAAGCGTAGATGTTATGGCGACGATCTCAAAATATGTGTGAGGGTTTTAATTTCCCGAATTTTAACGCATTCACGTCATTGACAAATTGAAAACATCATGAATATTAGCAACTATACAGTACATATATTTCCACTAATTGAAGATGCAGTGCCCTATAGTAATCATGCTGTCTGTCTGTCTGTTCATCTGTACTTCTGTCTGTCTGTCTGTTGAAGAAACTGTTGGATTTTGATCAAATTTGGCTGATGTATTACTCCTGTAAGTCTCTCAGGTTGGATGTTCGGCAATTTTTGTGCGTATTTAATGCGGTTGCTTCATCCTGAAAGGCTGATTGCATGCTAACTGTGTGATACTTCCTGATGGATTCCTAATGATCTTATCATTTTGATCAAACTCAGATTCGTACTGGGATTTGATGTTCGACATATATTCCAAGGATATTAAATAACACTTCTTCATTCGGATTGGTTGGGCCCTTTCCACGCAATATCTTGGGACAGAATGGTTGGTCGCCTTCCACACAATATCTTAGGACAGAATGGTTGGACGCCTTCCACACAATATCTTAGGACAGAATAGTTGGACGCCTTCCACACAATATCTTAGGACAGAATGGTTGTTAGCCTTCCACACACTATCTTAGGACAGAATGGTTGGTCGCCTTCACCACAACATCTAAGGACAGAATGGTTTGTCACCTTCCACACAATATCTTAGGACAGAATGGTTGGTCGCCTTCCACACAACATCTAAGGACAGAATGGTTTGTCACCTTCCACACAATATCTTAGGACAGAATGGTTGTTAGCCTTCCACACAATATCTTAGGACAGAATGGTTGTTAGCCTTCCACACAATATCTTAGGACAGAATGGTTGGTCGCCTTCCACAAAATATCTTTGGACAGAATGGTTGGTCGCCTTCCACACAATATCTTAGGACAGAATGGCTGGACGCCTTCCACACAATATCTTAGGACAGAACGGTTGGTCGCCTTCCACAAAATATCTTAGGACAGAATGGTTGGTCCCCTTCCACACAATATCTTAGGACAGGATGGTTGTTAGCCTTCCACACAATACCTTAGGACAGAATGGTTGGTCGCCTTCTACACAATATCTTAGGACAGAATGGCTGGACGCCTTCCACACAATATCTTAGGACAGAATGGCTGGGCGCCTTCCACACAATATCTTAGGACAGCATGGTTGGTCGCCTTCCACACAATATCTTAGGACACAATGGTTGTTAGCCTTCCACACACTATCTTAGGACAGAATGGTTGGTCGCCTTCCACACAATATCTAAGGACAGAGTGGTTGGTCACCTTCCACACAATATCTTAGGACAGGATGGTTGTTAGCCTTCCACACAATATCTAAGGACAGAGTGGTTGGTCACCTTCCACACAATATCTAAGGACAGAATGGTTGGTTGCCTTCCACACAATATCTTAGGACAGAATGGTTGGTCGCCTTCTACACAATATCTTAGGACAGAATGGCTGGTCGCCTTCCACACAATATCTTAGGACAGAATGGTTGGTCACCTTCCACACAATATCTTAGGACAGAATGGTTGTTAGCCTTCCACACAATATCTTAAGACAGAATGGTTGGTCGCCTTCCACACAATATCTTAGGACAGAATGGTTGGTCACCTTCCACACAATATCTTAGGACAGAATGGGTGGTCACCTTCCACACAATATCTTAGGACAGAATGGTTGTTAGCCTTCCACAAAATATCTTAAGACAGAATGGTTGTTAGCCTTCCACACAATATCTTAGGACAGAATGGTTGGTCGCCTTCCACACAATATCTTAGGACAGAATGGTTGGTCGCCTTCTACACAATATCTTAGGACAGAATGGTTGGTTGCCTTCCACACATTATCTTAGGACAGAATGGTTGGTCGCCTTCCACACAATATCTTAGGACAGAATGGTTGGATTAATATTTAACTTTTGTATGATGAACTGCTGACCAAATTGCCTCTCTGACATTTGTTTATTATATTCGTAATCTGGAATAAATGAAGTACACAAATATGAAATTTCAAGTTCATTCGACAACTGGTTTAGGAGATATGGCATTACAAGGAGAGACATAAATCTGCATTTTCATAATATCGTCTGTTATGCGCTATTTGGATGAAAATCTGTTATTTTTAAGGAAACAAACTTAACATTCTTCAAGGTTTGAAAGCCTCTGCATGCATCAAACGAATAAATATTTGACCTGCCTAAACATTGCCATACCAGTATTCATTCGCAGAAAGGATTTTTGTTTGTCACATGCAGAGGCTTTCATTTGTTAACTGTCCGAAAACACCATATTTTGGCCATTTCTGCATAGCAACGCAATTTTGTTGCTATGGTAGGGCATCTATGCATTGGCATTGGAAAATATATGCACCAAGAAAGGTAGGCCATATTTATCAATTTGATGTTTATGACAGAAATCGGTCACTATATTCAAGTTGAATTTTTTACTTTTAATGAGGCCAAACACAAGGACAGTGGGATTGAACCCAATAAGGTTACCCCCAGTAGGGTGTTGCTGAGAGACCGGGCAAATATTTTGAAATATTTGCCGTGAAATTTTAAATGAGAGTATTTTTATTCTGCCATGATTGCTTAAACATCCAGATGAGCAATACTATCAGGCTCTCTTGGCCTTGTGTCTTTTGCATACATTTTGGATGTGCTGATACATATATACGATAATCTGTTAAAATTTGAGAATCGTCTGAAAGAAGAACAAAGCGTATTTACATTTCCACATTTATTTTCAAATATACCGGTAAATTTACCCTTATCATAATGAACTTTTCCAACCTTTGAATTGGAAGAGTTCAGGTGTCTTTAGGGGTGAATGAGTTAAATGAAAAATCAGATCTTGACCGTCGACATTACTAAAGGAATTCAGGCCAATCAGATCTTAACTGTCGACATTACTAAAGGAATTCAGACCATAGTCAAGTTTGGACATTGAATAGATTTTCAAAATTTTATTAATTAATTTAAATATTTTAATTTTTAATTTTTACATGCACTGGTGTTTCTTTTGCAGTGCGCAAGGCTACTTTAGATGATCTGGTTGCTCTGACACATGCCACGCACCTTATGTATTGGTAAGGTATTCTTTGATTTTGTTTTGCTTAACTTATTCACCCCTGAAAACCCATTTGAACTCATCCAATTCAAAGGTTGGAAGAGTTCAATATGAAATTTCAGGGATGAAAGAGTTAACAGTGCATTGACAATATTTGTCTTTTCGGTGCCTTAAAGGGACAGAAATATGTATGCATGTGAGTGAATGTTAAACTTAACTTGTTTACAAGCTGGCAATCAAGTCTCAATGGAGTGTCTCATATCAGTTTTGTATGGTATAGCACACATCTGCGACAGTACATGTGTGATAGGGTATGAGCACTGGGTACCATTATCATCTTTAATGAAGCCAATTTTCAATCAGTCGGCCTAGCAACTTTTACCTTGTCAACATGGCACGGTAAGTACATTTTCCCTGCACTTTGAAAGGAATCCCTTAAGAATAAATATCATTATGTAACAGGAGAAAGAGAAAACATAACGGCTAGACCAGGGTTCGAACCAAGGGCCCTCCAAACTCTAGATGGACACTCTACCAATTGACCTACCTGGTCGCCAATGATCGACACAGCCCAGTTGTGCTACATTCCTCCCTCCTTTTTCTAAGTCTTTGCCCCCAAAGACACAACCCAAGTTCGGGTATCCCCTTGCTAAGCGTGCTACCAATGCTTGAAACAAGGATTGGCAAGGTTGCTAATTTTGTAACAGGAGAAAGAGAAAATGTAACGGCCAGACCGGGGTTCGAACCCAGGACCCTCCTAACTCTAGACAGACGCTCTACCTATCGACCCAGTCCAGTTCCGCTACAATTACAACATTCTAGAAATGGAACTGTTCTACTTGCAAAACACCTACCTTCTCTGCACCCTTGGAATATGTCATGATAAAATTGAAAGCTTACTGGGAGCTGTTTGATTGGTTTCAGGTTTAAAAACCCAACCAATCGCTAGGCTGATACCTGAAGATCAGTGAACCATAATGACAAACACTCGTCTTGTAGTATTAGCACAATACAGTGGATGATATTAATCAATTTTGACATATCGTGTCTAGAAATCCTCCTGAAAATATCTCTGATATCCGCTGTGTACGCTCCCTCACACTGTCCTCTTAACTTCTTGTCCTTCGGAAGGGATATTAAACAGGGGTCCAGTGTAAGGTGAGTCACGCCTTGCACGGTAAAGATCACTCTGCTTGTTTTTTTCGAAAAAGAGAAGGCTAATTGTTAGCTGCCAAAGAGTATAGATTGTATATTTAAACTAGTATAGGACTTTATGTGACAGGTCAAAATTTAATGCCTAAATTATAGGAAAAAGAATTAAAGTACCCCTAACCTCCACATTAGAACTGTTTAGTAATGTTCAAAAAGCGAAATTGCATCTCAACCCCTTAACTTCACACTATTTTTTATCCTAGGCCCGGTTATATTCAGAACAAGGACGTAAAGCCCCATCAATCAAAAAATGAATTTCAGCATTTCCTCAAAATTTTCTGGATGTTATATATGGCTGTAACAAACCATCAGATCAAAACCAAAGTTGAATGTTGTAAATACTGATTTTGGGGGTACTAGGTGACAAACAAAAGTCACTCAAAGCTACCATAAATCAACTTATTTTTGTTAAATGTTTGTTTCAGGAAACAGAACAAATATTTTTCAGCACCATAATTGTGAATACAGGTATGGCCCTAAACTAGGGGTTTATTCAGGGAGCATCAGTCGCTGCATATTTATATTCGTTGGCTCACCTTGCCTGCTATCTTTCCTGCTTCTCCTGAAGAGATAAGATACTTAAGGCAATATTTACGCCAATAGCATGCTGGACGTCTTGGCTAGCCAAGGGTACCGATCCAGTACAATCTACCTACTCTAAGTAGACTGGATGGTACCGGATCGTAACCCTTGGCTAGCAAAGATGCATACTGGGATAAAGGGGTCAATTGTTTTCTTTTCTTCTTCACCTTAAGATCTTAATGTTTGCTTGTTTTGTTTCAGATGAAATATTGATTCAGTGAATTCAAGAACATATTCATATAGATGACAGCAAGAAACTTGCCAGACATTGACGTATCTGTCCATCCAGCGATCCGCAAATGCACTGAGAGGGTGCCACAAATATTTCCTCTCGGATACTGAGCCCTTGCTTTACAGACTGGTGTTCCATTCAATTTGTGTATCTGTATCATCGCCACAGTCACAGATGTCTGATCTGTTCTAGAGGAGTCGTATTTTGATCTTGATCAGAAAGTTTTTCATAACACTTAAGTGATGCAAATGCATGTGTGTAAGAGAGAAAGAGAAAGGGAGAGAGAGTTTTTGTGTCGCCTGCAACGTGAGGCGACATATAGGTATTACTTTGTCGGCGTCGTCGGTTGCGTCGTCCAAAACAAGGTTTCCGTACGATAACTTGAGTTCCCTTGGGTTGATTGAACATGGTACGCATATACCATATGAATATAGCTCGAATAAGTTCGCATTTCAGAAGTTTACATGCATTTTTAGGTCACCTGAGACAAAGTTTATTATGGTTTATAATGGCAAGTGATACTTTGAATATAACATGTTAATAACTTGATTGGCATTATAACCCTGAGTTGACAGTTTGATACTTTGAAAATTTTGAGCCAGCCCTACCCCAAGGGCTGTAGGGTGGGGCCCAAAGGAGTCAGTGTGCTAACATTTCTTCCTTTTCCTTGTTTAGAATCGGAGGTGCTAGTTTCAAATACTTTTTAGTCTTAAATCTGTATGCTAGATATTGAATAAGGTGGTTTTATTGTTTTTTGTCACTTTGAATAATATTTCTGTTCATGTTAAAAACCAAATCAACTCTGTATAAATATATCAGGTGACCGTTAAGGCCCATGGACCTCTTGTTTGGTGGAGCTATGTCCCTTTTATTGCCAAATAAGGGCAGTGTGTAGTAAATGCAAGAACTTTTTTATTTTTTAATCAATTTCTTTCAAATTTTGTATGGTAATGCTAGAAGCAATTAATAATGCTCAACATATATTACAGGTTTTTTCTATCGAGTTTCAACTTTCCGCATTTTGGCATATCACACTTGACATAGCAATGCTGTTCATCGTTTTTGCTGTTAATTTTTGCTTGTTTACGCGATATCTCGAGCCAAAACACTTTTCTCACTTAAAGCACTGAGCAGGCGACACATCCACTCCTGTGGAATTCTTGTTTCAATACTATACTTGCGGGAGAGAATAGCAGGTGTATGTTGTGTATATTGTATGGTGTGTACAGTTAGATCAGCTGATGACATGAATTTGCATGTGAGTGGGAGCGTTGTGAATTGTACAGAATATTTCATCTAATTATACTTTTGTGATTTTCTTTTTTTTATGTGCGTTGTTTATGGTTTGGCAGAACATGTATTTATTTAACTAGCAAAGGACGATCAACGCCAAGGCTTTCTTAAATCTTGACAATATTGCCGAAGTTTGATGTCTGTGATAGGATGTTCTCAAACCTAACGGCTGATACTGTACTGCCTAACTCTACCACAAACTTCCAATAACATACAATGTACATTGGATATACATGTATTGTGATAGCAAACATTGAAAGTAAAATTAAAACAGTGTGCAATTTTTGCTTGTAGAAGTTTGTAAAAGTTTTCACGTTGGCAACGCTGCTACAAGATATAAATTCATAGTTTATCAAAATGTGTGTGCATATTTTAACTCACTTCAATGAACATACATGTACTTCAAATTTTTTAGTCTACTATTTTTAGCAAATTTTACCCCTTTTCTCTCCCGACACTCAGGACCCTGGAGGGTCAGACCCATCTTTAGTATAAATTCTGATCCCCAGTTGAGGTTGATGATTATACCACACAGTTCAACAAAATTTGACATAAAGTTTCTGAAGTGAAATGAAAAATATGGTGATTGTTTCAGGTTTTGCACTAATGACCCCAGCTATCACCCCCCTAGGGGGGTCTGGGAGGCTGATCCCCAGCTTAAACTGATGCTTACCACAAAATTTCATTAAAATCTGGCAGATAGCTCCTGAAGAGTAAAAAATATGATTTGTCAAGTTCTTGCACTAACTGAATCTCACCCACCGTTATCAAATCATCATTGTAGCATCATTCTAAGAAAAGTTGGTGAAAGTCCACGAGTAAAAGTCTTTTGAAGGTTTAACACTATGTGACCCCTTATGGCCTTAACCCTCAGCCTTGTATCGAGTACAGACTGTGATCACCACCATGGTTACCACAAAGTTTCATCTAAACTCGACTGATGGTTTCTGAGAAGTCGAAAATACGATTGTTAATGGTTGTTTGAGGTTTTGCACTAAGTGACCCCTTAGTTTTTAGACAGAAATCTTTGAGATGGGCAATCTCAGAAAACACATGAGTGAGAGGGTCAATATCGTAGACCCCAATCCTAAAAATGTCCTCTCTGTGTATTGCGCTAGACATAAAATATGGAGGCTGAGGGAAGATCTTGGAAGCCTAGGTCACGCTGATGGTGAGAACTACTTATATCACACTAATATTTGGTCTCCATTACCTACCTTCCAGTTGTGGTCAATTTCCAGTGATCACCTATACTGTATCTAACCTATCGCCTTCCTCCGAAAATGGTTACAGGACTCGCCAGAAAACTAGAAAATGTCTGTAAGACATGAATGCTCCCGTCACCATTTGAAATTAGTTTCATGGGACAGGACAGGACGGGATGGGACGGACATAGGGCAACATGCCCCCCAGCCCCAACACTTTATGGCGGGGGCATAAAAAGTATTTGTTTTTGGCATTTGCGATGAGTCTATGCCAAATCTTGCATACTAGTTTTGACTTACAGAATTTTGGACTGAAGGTCTGAATTATTTTCATCAAATTCTGAAGTAGGTCAAAGTAATTTATTAGGACAATAATAGAATCCCTTAGTTCTTTCATATCATCATGTTATAGTCCTAATATATAGATCCTTGGCCTTTTCATTTTTCAGAGAGTTGATTAAATGTTTTATTATATTTGACCCCACAAACCTAGAAAGCAGGATAAGTACTTTCATTTGACTTGGCTTGATAACTAATATCATGATCCTGAAACTTATTTTTTATTTATTTTTTTATTTTTTAAATGTTAAAATACATTTGCCTCATGACCTTACAAATAGGTCAAGATGATTAAATCAATTTGAACAAACTTCATAGCCCCTCATCCCAGCATGCTAATGACCTAAGATCCATGACACTAGGCCTGGCCATATATGACAGTAGGCCACTTTCAGAAGAAAGTTACATTATCAATTTGAACCAATTTGTCAGCTCTATACTACTGCCTGCTACTTGCCAAATATGATAACCTTTCATTAGCATCTTCCTTCTAATCTTCACAAGTTGTTCCCCTGTGACTTAACAAGAGGCCCAGAGAGCCTGTATTGCTAACCTGGATATTTAAGCAATCATATGAAAATGTTCCCAAAAAATTTGGTCAAGTAGTAATAATGATAATTTGAGGTTCTTATATACCGCTCTATTACAACCTAGTTCATAAGTCATCTCAAAGCGATTCACAAATTATTATCCGTGGTTATAGGGCCTTTGCAACGAGCCATTATCTTTATCTTAATCAACTCCCTGGGGAGCATACAGCCGGTGCTGCCATTTCATCGATCACAGCTAGCATTCTACAATTCTAGCACTGCCCAACCACATACTTATTTACAGCTGAGTAGACTGGAACAAGCGGAGTAAAGTATCTTGTTCAAAGATACAACACAGTGCTGTGCTGTGACTTGAACCCACAACCCTTTGGTCACGAGTCTGGCGTCCTACCACTAGACTACCATGCCTCCCTCCTTAAGATAAGTAGGTCAAGGTTATTTCTTTGATGAAACTTTGTACTATTCTATAGTTTAGTTTAGTTTCTGATACAGGATCTACATGATCCTCTCCACCGGGCTCAAACATGTTTTTTCTCTCACATATATCAAAGTTCGGGTATGGACATCACATGTTAACCAGTTATGTTAGCTCTGTAATTATAAATAATTTCCTGATCAAATCAAGCTATAAGCAAACTATCACCAATTTCCTGATCAAATCAAGCTATAAGCAAACAATCACCCTGGCACTTTGTTATCAGAAAGACGTTGTTTAAAAGATTATTTTCACACATTTGACCCCTGTGACCTTAAAAGTAGGTCAAGGTCATTAACCGGTTGAAATTTTCTTCTACCCTATCCAATATCATGCTTCTGGTCAAATATCTTAACTAAAAGCCTCCTGGTTGTGCAGAAGGATTTTTTGGTATTTTATTTGTATTTGATGCAAGTGATCTTGGAAGTAGGTCATGCCATTTATTTGAGAAAATTTTATAGCAGCACATCATAGCATGCTACTGTCCACATATGACCATAATTTATGTCTTGGTTATTTAGAAGGAGTTTTTCAAAGGTTTTACATATTTGACCCTTAGGACCTTCAACGTAGGTCAAGGTCATCCATTTGAAGACACCTTTTAGCACTACATCCCCCCCCCCCCCCAGCTTCCTGGTTATTCAGAAGTAGTTGCTCAAATCTTTTTACATGCTTGATGCTTGTGACCTTAAACGTTGGTCAAGGTCATTTATTTGAGGACACCATAGCACCACATCACAGCATGCTAGCGGCCAAATATTAACATATGTGATTAAGCTATTCAGACTAATTTTTTCAAATGTTTAAACCCATTTGACCACTGTGACTTTCAATGCTGATCAACATCATCCATTTGAGGAAACTTCATAGCACCCTGGGCCTCCTGGTTATTCCCAGGTACCTATCGAGTAAATATGACCCTTGGTCGTCCAGTTCTTGAGAAGTTGTTAAAATAAAGATGTCTGGACACACAACATCATGTTATTATATATAAACTCACCGGTATTTGTGCCAGGTGAGCTTAAAAGGGGTCAAAGCATTTCTTTTAAATGACGACACTTCATCCAGGCAATCTTTCAAATCTTCAAATCCCGAAAACTTTTGGACTATATCTTCTGAAACTTTTGAAAGATTTTTGTAAGACTCTGACCATATCTAATCAATTAAAAAATACTATTTTATATAAATTCTATCAAACTATAGGCATAAAGGATAAGTCTAACAAAACCTTTAAATCAATACTTTTTATTTCAAACCAATAATTACTAGTTACTAGAGGTATACATATGCATGATCAGTTGCAGACTCAGTATTAAAATTACTAAGTTAAATATTTGATGTCAATGTAAGTTTCCTAATTGTATTTGCATAATAACATTTAGTTGGAACACAAAAAAATAATAAAATTTCATTTGAAGTAAATTCGACTTCTGTCAACACACCTGTTGCTCTACCTGCCTACGAGTGGCAAAAATATACAAACAAACTCTGCATAAAAAACAATTTTCAAATTTAACTGATATTAAAGTGTCCAGTGTTCATAAAACCGCACATCAAGAGTAGCAAAATGAGATTGAATGGCTTCTCTCCAAACAACCATGAGGAACTAAGGTATACCAGGAATTATTTTTCGACGCAGTTTAATGTAGGCTAATTTATCATGACAGTGAAAATCAGTACACAGCATACACTATATACATGTAGTAACTACATGTTAAGGATGAAATTTATACTGGGTTAATGAAGATGGATTTTATCAACAAAAGGCGAATATTTGACTGGGCGAAAGCTTCCCAGTGTACAGGTATACTCCGTACATACAACACCAATCTGGTTTAAGAGGTGTTTACCCTTTGTGCTTCAATTGTACATTTTTCGACAGAATTTTATTCCAACCAATCTACAATGCCACCCTCAGAATTCTCTGTGTTGGAAAACTGTTGCCTAATAGTGAATTTAAAAGTAAAGTAGGTCAACCAGCAAAACATGACCACACACCCACAGGGATCTGGACCTAAAGAAAGGTGTTTAGAGGGGGGGGGGTTTAGATCGATTTTCGTTAAAAATGCCACCCCCAATGCTTATTTTTACCGAAAATCGATCTAAACCCCAAATATAGCTGTAACAAATTATCAGGTCCCTGTGCACACACCCTGTACACAGTGTTTGAAGATAAATGAAATAGTAGTCTTGATGTCAGAAGACGAAGAATTTAAAAATCGTGTACGTAACCGATGATCATTCTAGAGCTGAGTCTGCTAATGTTGGTACAGCAAAACTGTCAAATGTTTTTTGTGGATTGCTTTTATATTAAACTTTCACTGAAAAACCTTCCATCTTTTAAGCCAAAACGACAATCTGTCGATTAAGCAGTTTACTGGTTTTATTCAAAACAAACATCACACTGACTCATGGAAGCGGTCTTACCAGCGGTGCAATACACAATAGAATTAAGTTGACCTGATGGTCACATTCCGATTTCTTTAAGTGTCTTCCCTCTGTCCCATAAATGTTTTTAATGTACAGGAAGGGTCTTTTTCAAATTTCACAGGAAGGTTCCCCATGGTCCTTTGTAAAGCTATAACTCTTCACTATCCTAACATTTACATGTTATATACATTTATTGTTCAAACAATTTGAAACTGATTTTACAGAATATTTCTGTAGATGATTAGGAAGTGATGACATCAGGAACATAACAAAATCAGTGATATCGGGCAATGAAAGCCATATAGCAGGATATTTCTGCGATTTGGCTGGTCAGTTTAACGTGATCGCGATAAGAAAAGCGTAAAAGTGAGTCTCAATATCAAACTTTATAACCCTAATGTCCTCACGAAATAGCGAATATGTGGTTATGACGATTTGTTTACATAAAGAGTAATAATGTGTGAAAATAGGTTATATGACTTGTCTAACAAAATACACTTGTTAACGTTGTTGCTTAATATGCTGTCATAAAGCCTATTCGTTGGCCACTTGACATGACAAGTGTCCCGTCTCTGTACTAAAACAATGCTATATTTAATTCCTTCAAATGTCTAGATCGAGAAATTCAAAATTCAAATCGAGAATTGTAAAATCAATTTTCTAATTTTGGGTCAAAATCGCGAAAACTTCAAGCCTGCATAAATAACCCGCTATATGGTATCAAGCAAATGGTACAATGGGCCTGCATCACTCACCTGGTATTATCTCACAATTGTAACCTTAGAAGTAGGCTAAAATAAAGTTACAATAAAAATAACCAAAATATATGTCAAGGTCATTCATTTGAACAAATTTCGATGCGGTTCATCCCAGCATTTTACGGCCCGAATATTAACACCCTAGGCCTTCTGGTTAATTAGAAGAAGTCATTTAAAGATTTAAACATATTTGACCCCCTGTGACCTTGAATATAAGTCAAGGTCATTCACTTGAACAAACTTGGTAGCCCCTAATCCCAGCATGTCCCTGGTCAAATATCATCACTCTTGGCCTCTTGGTTATTCAGAAGTTGTTTAAAGTAAAAAGTTGATGCCAGACGAATGACGGACGCAGCACCACGGCATAAGCTTACTTGGCCCTTTTGGCCAGGCGAGCTACAAAATGTAAGTGATAATCTAGTGACCACCGTTGATGATGGTCCTTTCTCATATGATTTGTGAAGAATATCAAGCATACAAGATGTACAGCCATGAAATGCATCTTATAAACAAATGTATCATCTGATTTTTCTCCTTAACTAAATGGAATACATCAAGTTATCTGTAGCTACAAAAATGTCTGGAAGACATGAATGCCTCCACTTCCATGCAAATTATCATCATTTGCTGATCCAACAGTTTACCATACACCTTCAGTACTCTCTGAACCAGTGTAGCATCAGAGAAATAATCAATCTAATCTCACACACACACACACACACATCACTGACATGGTATAAAATTGTTTGACCAAAATATGAATCCTCTACAACAGATAAGATATTCATGATTTCTGGCAATGATAAAATACACAAGATAACTATAATGGAGCACCAGTCTGTAAACCAAAAGACTCATTATCTTAATGGAAATAGCAGTGCAACCCTCTCTGTGTGTTACAAGTGCCACACATTCTGTGTATCTGTGGCATCACCAGACTTCTACATCAATGTTGGCCAAGTTTGGGACGTCATCTATCAGAATATCACAGTGAATTCAAATAATTTTGTCTCAATTTCACATCTGAAACAAAACAAAAGCAAAATATTTTCAAAGTTGAGTAGCAAAAATAATATCAACAAGAGTACCGCGGGGCGGAACAATATATGCCCGTCGAATGCCATATAGTGTTATATACGTTCTTACATTGAAATAAGATCTGCATCATTCTAAGAGTGGTTAGCTGACATGCTATAAAAAATGTAGGAGAAAATCTCCGGACAATAAATCAAATACTGAAATGAACAAAGGGAAATAACTTTTGCAAAAATTGTCGAATCAAAATTCTTTTCAAGGAAACACAACAACATATCCTGATTATTAAGCCTACTAATCTGTCAAAAAATGTAGGGAAGATCTCCAGACAAAAAATCAAATACTGAATGGAACAAAGGGCATCAAAATTCTTTTAAGGGAGACACAACTTCATATCATGATTGAAATGTATACCAAGAGATCGGTCGAAAAACGAAGGAGGAGATTGCCGGACAAACAAAAGTTTACGACGGAAGGACAACCCCATACCATAATACTACCGTCAAATTTGACGGGCATATAAAAATTAATGGTTTTTTTTTTTTTAATTGTGACCTTTGACCCAACAGCGAGCTTTTTTATTTGGAATATTTTGTATTACCGGTAACATGTAATGAGAAAAAGTTAGATATGGAAATTATCTACAAATAATATAATAGCACGAATTCTGTACAATCAACGGTTTTCGAGTTATAGCAGTTTTAAAATATTAACCTATGACGTCATGGCGGCCATATTCGACTTTAATCTACTTGAAAATGTTCCTGGAACATCTTCAGACCTTGGCCTACAACATGCCTAAAAGACTATATAAACCTATCTTTTACCAATCAAAAGATAGACTCCACAAAGTACAGAAGAAAAATAATAATGAAAAGAATAAGAAACATAACAAAACCAATAGATCTTTTCACCAGTTGGTGAAAAGCCCTAATTATAATCAAAAGCAGTGCTTCATATGTATAAAAAAAATCTGTGCAGCTATAACAGGATTTGAACCCTAGACTTCAGATTGTTATACTTTCTCTTTAACCGACTAAGCGGTTTGATCCCCGTACCACTGCCAAAAACAGTATATTACCAGAGTGAGGTGGAACAGGGATCCTTTAACACATATTATTATAATGTGAATTTCATTCAAACTGTACATGTATAAGCAAATATAATATTACCAGTATGCACATATAGCTGTCAACCCTCCCTCATTGACTTTTGACCCAAGTTTACCACTTTCCCTTGAAACTCACTCAGTTGGGCAAGGAATCAACTATTATCCCCCCTCCCAAATTTTGTTTTTAACAAAAGCTGTTTGAAAAAGGTTTGCTGTTCACCTATTTGAGAAATATTCTAAAACTGGTGATGAACACAAATTGAGTGATTATTTGAAAATGAAAATCTGTTTCCACTTTTGTGCGACAATATCTGACCCTTCAGTAACCTCCATTCCTAATATGACCATCTTGGAAAAAATACTGAATGTTGTGTTTATGGTGAATCTGAACACTTGCACTCAAAATTTTACCTGGAGATTTTGGCATAAAAGATAAAGTCCAAAACAGGTAAAAAAAATGAAAATGTAATAATATTTCTGTTCTAATTCTGCTGCATCAAGGTTCGACTCCTCAGGAACCTTCATACTTAATCAGCATCTAATGTAAACACTAACTGGTCGTTTTGGCAAAAATAATCCTAAAACAGGTCAGAAAACAGTGGAATTTTCCCCGTTATGACAGCACTGCATCTTGTTGAGCCCTTAGACCGCAAGTTCACCCCTGAAGACACATTTGAACTCTTACAATTCAAAGGCGGGAATAGTTTATTATGAAATTTCAGGGATGAATGCACAAAATCTTTATGACAGCACTGCATCTTATTGAGCCCTTAGACCGCAACTTCACCCCTGAAGACACATTTGAACTCTAACAATTCAAAGGCGGGAATAGTTCATTATGAAATTTCAGGGATGAATGCACAAAATCTTTAACCTTGAAACAATTGACAAAGGGGCACCAACACCATTTCCCTTTTCTCATTTTTAATTCAAACAGGCAAGCTTATTATCTCAGTCTTAAAGCCTAAAATGTCTTTAATTGTGATGGGCTGGTAATTGATACAAATACTGCATACCTGGAAACTTTCGCCCATTGCCCGTGAAGTAAATTTTCAGCCAGTGTTAATTCGCGTTTCACATTTTACCGCTATGTTTATTATGTTGTTAACCTATATTTGCTGGAATGAAACATTTACCCTCATCACGAAGGGTGAAAAAGTCAAAAATTAAACTGCGGCAAAGCCCACCCAGTATACAGTACCAAAAGAATGCCCTTACCGTTTTGGCAAAAGCCAAATGTTGCATTGCATGGTCAGGAGTCTTCTGCACTGTAAGAGAACAAACAAGTTTATGTTATAAGTTAGAAATAATGCCAGACAGGAAATTGTGTGTGCTTATCCGAACTGAAACCGGGTAGCCATGTTTTTTTGTGCCATTGAATACAGCCTCCAATGGGGGCCCCTTTAATATTTTGATAAAAATATGATTACTTAATCACTAAATGCAGAGATAAATCAACACTTCTGTCTTGTAAATACAATTGTAAATTGTTGCAAATTCTCAAAATCTTTATGAAATGGCTACATATCGCTAGCAACCAACTAGGACATTTTTGTAGTCGCACTTTACAATCATGTGTTGTCAATGCTATTTCTGCACATTATTTCCGGTCGGAACACGGATGATAGCTGGCGGTGAATGATAAGTTGTTCAACAGAAATTCAGTCGATATTATGTTTCATTCAAAGTTTATTGTATACATGCACTCAATGCTATATAGCAAGTTACTGATCAGGTCTGTCAAACAGCAGTGAGGAGCGACTTTTCTGACCGGGAAAATCAATCAATATTGACCTACATTTTGGGACGGTTTTCGGATACGTAGATTTGCTAACCAGAATATTTTCTTACAATACCAGTCTTTATGAAGGTATGTAGATTAAAGGGGCTATTTAGTCAAAAGACAACCAGAAAATTGAGTCGATATATATCTCCTAATGAAAGTTTACGTAGTTGATAATGACATGACCTGAATCCAACGTTCACTGTGGTCAGTTTCATCTTTTTGGAAAGCTGGTGATAAAAAAAGCTACGACCAAAATAGCGCAATATCATTCTTTTATATATGCCTATTTAATTTACATACGTTTCCAAAAACAGAAATGGTATTATTTTGATGTTTTAACTCATTTAGAAAATAGCAAATTATATTTGTGATTTACCCCTATCCCTTTTAGTACTCCCAAAACCCATTTTCGGTCATTTTTTTGCTTTAGTTTTTGCACATATGATACAATAAGACATCTTTGAACAAATTACCGGGGTAAGGAGGTGAAAATCCAGATATAGACACTCATCCTTTTGTGGCGGTATATCGTGATTATACATGTACTGCCAAAATATCCGTTTTACTGGCTTCTCTCCACATGGTCAGTTAAACTGTATCATCGCAAATTTCAAGTTTACAGTAGGTTAACACGTGAACAGCTCACCTTTGATATATCGATTACCCTCATAGGTCCCGTCCTTTTTCAAAGCTTCCCCCAAATCCTTCTTGTTGATCAAGCAATAAATATTATTATACTTCATGCCTTGAGCGTCTCCTGCTACTTCTCTGAATAACATTTCTTCTATAGGCACTTCTGTTGGATTGAAAACTCAAAACGTCAAACATAATCAAAATAATTATTTAAAATCATTCAAGGGTCGTTCCTTCCAAGATTTGTTAAGCTATCAGTTTAATCAATTTTACATCTGTTATAGCCAGCCATGCAATACCTATTAAATTGTCTAAAAGAGAAAAAAGGATTTTTATCAAGACTAGTCAAACAAATACATGTCCCCTACCGGCGCCCCAACTGACTTAACAACATTAATGCTAGACCCCTAAAGAACCTCTGTACATAAAATCAGCACCCTAACACTACTATTAAGTGAATGGTAAGCCATTACAAAACTTTAACCAAAACCTTAACCAAAGGTAACGGATGGACAACTGACAGACAGACAGACGGATGCAGATAAAACCTCTAGTCCCCGGTTTATAAAAATATAATCCACAACATAGCGCCTTAAGACTTAGATATTGACATGACATTTTTTCAAAGGTGTAGGGAACATGTTATTTGAACACATTTCAATGTTGAACTGTTCATTATGAAATATTTACCATCGTATGGCATTGCCACTATGTAATCCTACCAAATTCAGTTGGCATTCATATAGGCTATGAATGTCATGGACAGATTGTTGACGTTATCATTATTATGGCATCATACTTGTTATGTTTGATACCACTGACCCTCCATGGGTGATGACTGTTCTATTCATTATTTGAACTAAATGCTCTATTTCTATGAGATGAACTGATTCCAAAATGGTAAATATAAGTATTGAATAGCTTTCAGTTGGCATTCATAGGCAACATGAATTCCATAGAATTTGCCTTTGTCCAGTAGGGATTCATAGGCAATATGAATTTCAATGAATTTGCCTTTGTCCAGTTTGCATGAATGCCAACTGAAAGCAGTTCAATCCTTAAATAGGGACTTTGTGATCTGATGTTGCACTTTGTTGGCACTTAACAAAAACTTTCAATGCCTACACAAATATCGGAAGGTAAGCCGGGCTTAAAAGTAGATATTTTCCAGAATGAGGAATTTTGAAAACGAGTTGCTCAAACATTTCTAATTACACAGAAGATATCTATTGTTTCAAACAAAATTCTGATCAACCATTCAGTTCAGTCACTAAAGAGCATTCTGAACTCCTCTCAAACAAGCACACTAGTACTAGTGATCCTTCTTTTTTTTTTTTTTAATTTTATTTTTATTTTCATTTTAATGTGCAATATACATCTTCATCAAATTAGCAATTATCATAATCATCATTCATCAAGCATCATCCATCATAAACAATAGCCTCATTACCATCACATCTCACAGACATGCACCATCCTCATCATCATTCTCATCACCTTCATCATCACTTTTTTTAATACAAAACAACATCTCATCATATTTCATACAATGCATCATCATCATTATCATCATCATCTCATCATCATCATTATCATCATCATCATCTCATCATCATCATCATCATCATCATCATCATCATCTCATCATCATCATTATCATCCATCATCATCTCATCATCATCATCATCAAAGCAATATCATTGTATCGTTATAATCATACTGAGAAAAAATACAAATCAACACTGGTCATTACCATAAATACTTGCATCATGTACATGTGATCATCATCCTCACTGTTATTATCAAGAAAACAAGATCACCTTCCACATGTCACATGACTCTCACATCCTGACATCATACACATAAAGTTGAGGAAGCATATGCAGTAACAAAAAAAAAATAAACAATAAATTATCTATTGTATACCTGCAGTGATAAATAAGATCAGATTTACATGAATGTATATTGCACTTTATTGGCTGGACAGACAAATAGCATGTAGAAAGAATTAAAGACGTTTAAAGAAAAGAAAAAGAAAGCGAGAAAAAGAAATAGAAACAAAGTGGAAGAACATTATGTTTTGATTAAAATAGACATCTTTTAATTTTTCGTTTGATAAATTGCCTCCGTAAGACCTAAAATGTTACAGTATAGGGCCAAAATGCCCCCATAAGCAGCAAGGGGAGATAGCTAACTGCCTGGGGAGCGCTTTGTTTTTCTGATCAACCCCACATTGAAACATGCATAACTTAAGCCATTTCAAAATCAACATATGAGAATTGATTCAAAAATTCTGATTCAAAATTTGTCCAATACCTGGTGGAATTTGAGACAGATCCCTCCAGTTCTTTCCTTGTAAACTTCAGCTCTTACATTTAAAGACAGACACCTTGAGGCTATTTTGATTAATGATAAGTCCCAAGATTAAATATGCACAACTACGGACCACTGATTACATACATGTGAAATCTTAAAACAATCCCTCTAGTACCTTCTGAATGATAGCCCTAACAAATGTCTAATTCTCAATATTCAAGATGGTTGCCCATCAGCCATCTTGGTTCTCTGATAAGTTACAACATGTAATATGCATAACTACAAACCTGTCAGCCATCTTGGTTTTCTCTTCAATTTCAAAATACAATATACACAACTAGAGACCATGGGGAACCTTGATGTGAAATTTTAGTTGATAATGATGGGCTAAAAACTCACCTAAGAAATTTCCGATTTCTTCACGCCCGCTCGAGTGCAGAGCTCCATGCAATGAAATGTATGTCATATCTGACTAGAAAAACAAAAATATTCAGAAGATATTTAATAATTACAGAACTCATTCCATTAGAGTGAAAAAATGTTGTTTTTCACGTCAGTTACAAAATTTACTGTATGTTAGCAGGTAAAAGTGTCTATTTGTTCTTTTACATTATGACCTTTCATCTTGCCTTTTGCTGAAATTCAAATAATTCGTCACAGCACCGACAACAGTTAACAAACTTATTTTGTCAAAGATCTGTTTGCCAAAGGTTGGTGCACATGAAAATGTCTTTAGTACATATTTTCAGGGAAAACATTTTCTTCTAAACAAAAGATGTAACCTTCTTCATTGGTTCTTTGTTAGATTGAGAAGAAAAAATCAATCTTACAAAGAACAAAGAAGATGAATCGATGGTGGGTGCCATGATCCCTCTGGGATCTCACATTTTTTAAGTTACAGATATTGTCCAGACCCATGATATGTTTACCATGACTTAATGACATCTTGTAAACCCAGATTGGGATAGTCAGACTGTGAAAGTATTATAACTGACAAATGGAAAGTTCGTTTTTAATAGAATGTCATGTATGATGCATATAATCTAAACTTAAGGATCCCTGTACCATTGCCATCTGGGTTTTTCTTTCTTATGCACAGTAACCTCCCCTTGCAAAACAAGGAGACCCAATGGGCCTGCATCGCTCACTTGGTATCAATCATATACTTGTAACCTTAAAAGTGGACTAAAATATAGCTACAGGCAGAATATCAATATCTATGACTCGAAGTCATCCAAAAGAACCTGTTAAAAGATATCCCGTTATCTCAGCAAGCAACTTGCCAAATAACACCACACTAGACCTTTTGTAAATAGAGATTAGGTAATTCAAATGTTTATACACATTTTACCATAAGTGACCTTAAAAGTGGGTCAAGGTCATTCAAATGAACAAACTGGGTAGGCCTTCATTTCAGCATGTCACTCGCCAAATATCAACATCCTAGGCCTTTTGGTTATTCAGAAGAAGTCGTTTAAAGATTTAAAACATATTTGACCCATGTGACCTTGAATATAAGTCAAGGTAATTCATTTGAACAAACTTGGTAGCCCTTCATCTCAGCATGCAAGTGGCCAAAATATCATAATCCTTAGCCTTTTGGTTGATCAGGAGAAGTTGTTTAAAAAACTTCAACACTTTTGACTCATGCCAGCACGATACTGGCAAAGTATCATCACCACGATACTGGCAAAATATCATCACCCATGTCCTTTTTGTTATTCAGAAGAAGACGTTTAAAGGTTTCAACATATTTGACCCCTGTGACTTTGAATATGTGTGAAGGTCATTCATTTGATTAAATTTGGTAGCCCTTCACGCTAGCATGATACTGGCAAAATATCATCACCCTTGTCCCTTTGGTTATTCAGAAGAAGTTGTTTAAAGTTTCAACATATTTTACCACTGTGACCTTGAATATGGGTGAGGGTCATGATCATTCATTTGAACAAACTCAGCAGCCCTTCATCCCAACATGTTGCTAGCAAAATTATGAAAAATTAACATCCTAGGTCTTTCAAGGTTTTAAACAAATTCATCCCAAAAAGAAGTTGTTTGAAAGTTTTTTAAGGCAACTGACCTCTGTGACCTTGAAAATCAGTCAAAGTCATTCATTTGAAGAAATTTGGTAGCCTTTCACCCAAGCATGTTACTGGACAAATATCATCATCCCGGGCCTTCTGGTTATTCAAAAGAAGTTGTTTAAAGTAAAAAAAAAATGATGCCAGATGGACGGATGATGGATGACAGACACCGCACCAAGGCATTAGCTCACTTGGCCAGGTAGCCTGCTGAGTACCATACCAGTTTATCAAAGTAGCACAAAAAATACCAGTTGTATGAAGGACTACATGTAAATCTGTTTGGGTGGATAAGTCACAAAGAGCAGAAGTTTATTCTTAATGTCCAGCAATTTTGTAAATGGTTATGGCCTGGGGATCTCAACTGTTTTCATGTTATGACCTAGGGAGGTAGTCTCCAGGGGTTGGTCTGGACCTGCAGGCATTCGTTTGGAAGGAGAAGAACTTCAAATATTATGCTCTATGTCATCTATTTGGCCCGCCTCTCTGCCCCCAGGGGGGGCACACCCTCCATTTATATAAAATTTAGTTGTCTTTGCTTGCAGGCTCTGTTAACCAAAGTTGGTTGAAATGCCTTCATTCGTATCAAAGGAGAATTATTAAGAAAAAAATCCTTTATTTCCCCTATAGGTTCCCACCCCTCTGCCTAAGGGGGCCAATATACATGCCACATCTGACAGTGTGAGGCAAAATCTTACGGATTTTCACCTCCCATAAGTCTCAAGGCATGGGACATGAAGTTATGGAAAGTCCTCAAAACAACTAGGACTAGTAGCATTTCAAAGAAAAAAGATGACAGACAATGGATGGATGCTGCGCCATGCTATAAGCTCACTTGGCTCTTCGTTGATAGTGAAAACCCTAAAATTTTGTTTACCTTTTCCAAATCAAATTTCAGGAACTGCATTTTCTTCTCTATCCTACAACAGAGGTAGAAAATAAATATGACACTACCTACCAACCTTTGTTTCTCTTCACTCGTAATAAGACAATCCAAATTTAAAATTCTGTTGGTTGAAGGGTTTTGCGCCTACATGAATCCGCCCTTACGGGTTTCATCTCACTTACGGAAGTCGGTGTTCTGTCGGCGTGTTTTTTAAATTTAAAAAAAAAATCTAGTCCTATATATGTGACTAAAGGCTAGTGGTGTAATAATATATCATACTATCGATATATTGTGGTTGTACACCTCTTGGTTTGATTAAACAATGACAACAACATAAACTTGATAACAATCGTCCAATCGATAGTTTCAAAACTGCTAACACTTACAGTTTTCATTATCTCACCATGCAATTGAGAGTACTGATAATTAAGTCGTGATCATTAAGACACACTTGGCTGCACTAACACAAGGAGTCAAGTGCGCTAGTCACAATAAGATATTACTCTCAGTTGTATGTGCATTTTAATTGCATAAATGTTATGGTATACTTTATACTCAGTGTTGTGATAAACATGCTAGCAGACAGCATATTTAAGACAAAAAATTACCTGATACCAATGAACCAACAGACAATTGACAGAAAGAACTTTGGTAACTGAAGTATCTAATACTTCTGCTATACTAAAGCTTAATTAAGTGTACCACAATAATTGAACTATCGCAATAGCGTTTTCCCATATAGTTATAGTATATTGCAATAGTGAACAACTTTTGATCTAAACTTAAAACTGCTGTGTATAAAATGTCATTTCACATATTTACTAGTACAGTACTTAATGATCAGTCTCAAAATAAAACATGCACAACTAAGGATCAAAGAGAACTTACATAGTTAATTTGAGAAAGATCCCTCAAGTTATTCCTGAGAAATAGGACTAACAAACCTTCCATGTCAAAAATCAAAGATGGCCACCTGTCGGCCATTTTGTTTATCTGATCAGTCTGCTCAGGATCGGTCTCAAAAGTAGACATGAACAAAAAAGGACAACGGGGATCCTGCATATAGTATTTGAGAAAGAAACCTCCAGTACTTTCTGGGAAATAGCTCAAACAAACCTTAACTTTCAAAATCAAAGATTTATTTATCCAATCAGTCTCATAAGAGAACGTGCACAACTGCAGACCAAGGGGAACCTACATGTCAAATTTGAGAAAGATCTCTCCAGTCCTTATTGAGAAATAGCTATTACAAACATTCACTGTCAACATTCAAGATGGTTGCCTGTCGGCCATTTTGTCTATCTGATCAATCTCAAAAGTGATGCGATGCCCAAGTAGGGACCAAGGGGAACCTATATAAAATTTGAGAAAGATCCCTCCAGTCCTTATTGAGAAATAGCTATTACAAACATTCACTGTCAAAATTCAAGATGGTTGCCGGAAAAGTAAACATGAACAATAAAGGACCGTGAGGCACCTACATCTTTTTTTATTAAACAAATTTTAACTCCTTCACCCCTGAAGACACAAAGGTTGGAATAGTCCACCATGAAATATCAGGGGTGAATGGGTTCATGTTTGCGAAAAAAAGGCTTGACACTATCCCCTCGATCCCCACCTCCAATCTCTTGTTCCATATAATCAGATCAAGTTTTCGGTCAGCATTTGTTACATTTTTTAATGCACAAAAAATTATCAGATACATCCTGTCACTCATCAACAAGACATGGACTGTAAAACGAAAGCTGAACAATTCAAGTATTTTCCTCCTTTAACAAATTCAAAAGGAGTCGGTCACAGGCAACTACCAGGTTCATCAGTAAATGCTTTTTGAAGTTCTTTCTCCCTGATTTGAAGGAACAAGTTCTAATTTTTACTGACCCTGCTGGCCATACTTATGTTATGATCAATCTCCTTGTTTTCCTTAGGTAGCTTGGGAACTTTCATCTTCTCTAAATCAGGAAGAATGTAAGATTTTTTTCTTGTTTTCATAAAAAAAAATGTCTTGAATCTTAACTCAATAATGTAGACAGATAAAGGCTGAAGCATACATGTGTTATAGTATTAAATTTATCCATGAATGTAATCGCACAAATACTCAAAGGAAAACACTTTATTTTTTAAATGTCACATACCCTTGAAGTCGAGGAATAAGGTGTCTAGTCCTTTCACTATCATTAACCAACACTGGAAAAAAGAAAGAAATTTAAAGTTGAAATATTATTGTAACTAGAATTTATTCAGTAAACAAAAATTACTACCCTGTTTTAATTAATGTGAACAAATATTTTGGATCCAATTATTCAACACTTTATTAGCTAAACAAAAAGATAAAACAAAATACATGTATTAACCCTTTCACCCCCATGTAACATAAGTGAACTCTACTATGCATTAATTAAAGGGTGAACTTACTTGCCCTTGCTGCCATGCAAATCAACATAATTATTGGACAAATTTTTGAACTATGTAGGCTAAGCCGTACTTGGAAATTTATGCTTTTGAAAGATTTCGTCTCGAGACAGTACCACGAGTTGTTTATATCCTAATTAAATCCAAAATTCCATGTACAATGAAGATATGATTTGCTTAGAAGACTTTACATTGAACCTTGGTAACTTTCATTCTTGATTTTGATGATTTAGGTCCCAAACAGTTGATTAAATGGTATCTCTGTATTAATATTTTAATTACAGTGCTTTAAACGTCCATACTTACCCTTGACATATCGGGCCCCGATATATTCTCTGTCTTTGGCTACAGCTGTTTGAACATCGTCGTTTGGTACTCGTACGTAAACAATTCCGTTCTTGCGAGAATCATCATAATCAAATAATATTTCCTCAACTTGACAACCTGAAATGATGCAACTGTGACAAATAAATAAGAAGCATGGACACCATTGAAAATAACATTTAAGGAGACTGCAATTCAAACGATATTTCGAAGAGGCTCAAACGGGTTTCATCACCCATAGGTTAGTTACTGGTAGTGGTGTTCAAAAATTTTATTTTAATACTGAAATGCATGAAATAATTCATTGAAGCAATCAACAAATGATACAAATTTGACCTCTACGATGTTTTGTTCCAAATTGTTAAATTGGACATGTTTGTTAGGCCCTTGAACCCAAGCTACATATGCGATGACTTTGGGCCTAGTAGTTCTTTTTAAGCTTTTAATATAAATGATTCTTTAAGCTTGTGCCTTTAACTCATTCACCCCTGATAATTTCATAATGAACTATTCCAACCTTTGAATTGGAAGAGTTCATATGTGTTTTCAGGGGTAAATGAGCTAATAGGTGTTAATGCTAGCTAATTTATACGAAAACAACTTGATAACCCTTTAACCCCGAAAGCACAGGCCACTTTCATTACTCCAGAAACATGTCAGTGAAGGTGTTAAAATGACTACGGGGCATTTCCTTGTTCTCCTACAGGTAAATTTGTGACTTCAATTTATTTGTTGTATTTTCAAATGTTTTCATAACAAACCAGCCTTGCTTATACCTCAAAACAGCGAGAAATTCGACTCATAAAAGTCCATTCATGAATAGAATAGTAGTAGTATAATGTAAGGGGGGAAATCTGGACTTTACTGTAATTTTGACACATCGAGAAATTTGAATCTTCGAAGTTCAATTTATGGAAGTTTGACTGTAATATAAGATAATTTGGTAAATGCTGTCTTACCTGTTAAGAAATCCCGAATCTCTTCTTTAGTTACATTATAGGGCACACCTAGCAATTGCACATACACTGACTGAAAATGGAAAAATAAATGATACAAAAAATGATCTTTTACCTTCTTTGCTTTTTATTTTCCTTACATGTACTTTTACCCAGTCCCATGAAGGAGATCCTGAACAGGAACCTTTAAAATTTACTTTAACCTCGTTATGTCATGTTATTTGTCACTATGACAAATGTTATTGTATAAGAATTAATTACATAACTATATATGCAAATGGCTAAAAAATGTAATTCTTACATAATTAGAAGTGCTGTCAATGAAGGATGAGTTCTCATTAGGGCCAGGGCTATTTTAAACAAGAAACCAAGGGGAACATACATTTATAGTTTAAGAATGGAAAGATCCCTGCAATTCTTTCTGTGAAATAGTGATAACAAAACTTACAGTAACTGTCATAATCCAAGATGGCCACCTATTGGCCATTTCGTTTTTGGATCAGTCTCAAAAGAAAACATGCACAGCTAGAAACCAAAGGGAACTTACATATTATATTTGAGAATGATCCCTCATGTTCTTTTCGAAAAGAAAAGCACTAACAAACTTATAACTCTCAAAATTCAAAATGGCTGCCTATCAGCCATCTTGGAATTCCGATCAGTTCCAAAACTTGATATGCCCATTGGAATCCTTCATACAAAATTAGAAAAATAGCACTAACAAACTTTAACTGTCAAAATCCAAGATGGCCACCTGTCAGCCATTTTGCTTATTCAATCAGTCTCAAAAGTAAATACTGCACAACTAGGGACCAAGAGGAACTTTGATATGAAATAAATTACTTTCATGCGAAATTTGACAAAGATCCCTCTTGCACTCTCTGAGAAAAAGGGCTAACAAGAATTTGTGGGATGGATGGACGAAGTGATTGATGGACAGATAGATGAGAGACCACAGATGATGGGTGATTTGAATTGCCTACCTTCTGATGACGTTCAAAATTTCTCACCTGAGCTAACTCCATTTTTGTAGGTCATGGGAGAGACTAATCAACAAAAAGAGGCAGATCGAAAATTTTCTGAACAAGAACGATATATCCGTTTTCGGTCTAGATCAGTATGGTTTGTTGGTTAGTCACCACCATGACCTAAACAAGAGGCCCAATGGGCCTGAATCGCTCACCTGGTATTAATCTTACACCCGTTATCTAATAAGTGGAATAAAATAAAGCTACAGGCAAAATACCAGTGTTTGTTTCAAAAGAATCTATTAAAAGATTAAAACATGTGACACATGCGACCTTGAAATTCAAACAAGGACATTAAGTTGAACAGATTTTATAGCCTTTCATACCAGCATGTTTCTGGCCAAATATCATTACCCTGGACCTTTACATTATTCAGAAGTTGTTTAAAGATTTCAAAATATTTGACCCTTGTGACCTTGCAAATTGGTGAAAGTCATTCATTTGAACAGACTTGGTAGCCCTTTATCCCAGCATGTAACTGGCCAAATATCCTTACCCTAGGCCTCTCAGTTATTCAGAAGAAGTTGTTTTAAAGGTTTTAAGCATATTTGACCCTTGTGACCTTGAATATATGTAAAGGTCATCCATTTGAACAAACTTGGTAGCCCTATATCACAGCATGTTACTGGCCAAATATCATCACCCTAGGCCTCTTGGTTATTCAGAAGAATATGTTTGACCCCTGTGACCTTGAATATAAGTCAAGATCTTTCATTTGAACAAACTTTGTGACCCTTCATCCAAACATGTTATTGGCCAAACATCATCACCCTAGGCCTCTTAATTATTCAAAAGAAGTTGTTTAAAAGTAAACAAGAGGCCCATGGGCCTTAACGGTCACCTGATATATTTATACAGAGAGTTGATTTCGTTTTTAACATGAACAGAATTATTATTCAAAGTGACAAAAAACAATAAAACCACCTTATTCAATATCAAGCATACAGATTTCAGACTAAAAAGGATTTGAAACTAGCACCTCTGATTCTAAACAAGGAAAATGAAGAAATTTTAGCACACTGACTCCCTTGAGCCCCACCCTACAGCCCTTGGGGGTAGGGCTGGCTCAAAATTTTCAAAGTATCAAACTGTCAACTCAAGGTTATAATTCCAATCAAGTTATTAACATG